TGGTTCCCCCTCTGCTGGCCTCCAACCCCCGCCATGATGCATGGTTCTTGAAACGATTCTCTGCTTGCAACCGGGACCCCACTCTTAACGGGCTGCTTGGGCTGGTTGGGCTGGTTGGGATCGATATGGAGTGGTTTCATCCGCAGGACTTCTGCTGGTTGCTCTGTGCAGGGCGAGAAAAAGCCCCGGCGAAAATGGAAGCAGACTTGAATCGTCTGTTGGCTGGTTGAAGCTTGGCTTTCAGTGCCGAACACTTGCAATCATTTTGCTCTGGATCCTTTGCATGTCCCGGTTCTGATGGGCTCTTCACATGATGCCTTTCTTTTCACGGGGCTTCGCGCGGCTTGGCACCACGCCCCAATTCTAAGCCGCAGCGGAGGAAAGCACCATGTTTCGTGGTCCGAGTCTCGGAAAAAAACTTACACTGATACCACATGGGTATGGGTCAAAATTGGTACAAATTTATGCTCAATAATGTCAACCCTGGATTAATAAACCCCTAGGCTGTTTAATTGGGAGGGTACCATTTAAGTATCAGATTATGACTATTGGAGGAGTACCCCCTAATTAATAAACCATGGTTTGTTAATCCGGGGTTGACATTACATCTTAATTACAGTAATGCTAACAATAGACTCAAATCTTTGGTCCCCTGGCTCTTAAATAAAAACTAATTCCTACATGGCCCTTCCTAGTTCCAGGTAGGTTGCAGGTCAGAATTAGGAAGAGAAATGGTCCATGTTCCCGAACAATTCGTGCCATGACATTCATGAGCTCAGTTGTTTTGTAGCCCCCCTACAACAGAAACTATAGTATTTCCCTACAAACCCAACTTGTCTATTCCAATATGTTGCGCAGGGATTTTGCTCCCCGAGACAACCAACACCAAACATGACCAGCTATGGAGACGCGATACGCTGGTCTTTTTTGGACTCCGTTCAACTACAAACGATGAGACCACAAAGCTGGTCTTGGGGGGGCAACTATCACTAATTGGTGGTATACATACCCCCCTGAAAAATGATGGAGTTCGTCAGTTGGGAGTATTCTTCCCAATATATGGAAAAATAAAACATGTTCCAAATCACCAACCAGATCAAATCCATGTGGTTCTTGTGATGTCTTCTGGCCCTTCCCTCATGGCTTTGATTGGCTCTGTATGTGAGGGAAGCTTTTTACGACGCAAACGAGAAATATGTCGCATCTGCTGCGTTCTTCACAGCTAAGCTGGGTGAGACACTTGGCACCACCAGGCTCCTTCTTGAGCTGGATGATCAACGTTCTCAACTCCTCCAGTAGCTTCAACTTGAGCCAAAATCCCTTCAAAAGATCGTTTTCCAGGAAATAGACACATAGAAATGACCTGATGAAGAACCAGTAGTCATCACCAGTAACATGGAAACAAATCCACCACCAACATCAACATGTCCAAGGAACCTGGTGGCAACTCTCAACGCATCCGTGGGAGTGTTGTTCGGGCGGAAGCATCGCTATCTTTCGGCGGCCTGGACGTCGGGAGAGAATTCAGGGAAGTAGAATTCAGGGTGCCTGCAACGAACATAGCTGACATAGCTATAGAACATGGCCCATTTGTACCTATTAAAACTGTAAGTTGCTTTTCGGTGTTAATTTGCCAAAGGGTAAGTCCCATAATATGATGATCTGTGGGAGAAAGTGTACTGAACTCAAGTAACTACTACAGTACTGTTACAGTAGACTATAAGTTAACTCAAAGCAATATTTGCGATGAATATACTTTTTTGGATCTTCCAGGTATAATATGGTATAATATGTTTTTCTTCTTTTACTTTTTGCAATAAAGACATCAATTTCTGCTCGAAATTCTCAGAATCGCCCGCCGGAAAATCTGCAAAAAAATCGCCTTTTGGGAAATCATGAAACCAAAACTGCACCAAATTACTCCACAAAAAGCAACCATGTCTTGATTTACCCAAATTTCATCATGACATAATTTCTTGGTTTGCCCAAACTATCTCACCACATTTCTTGGTTAAACCAAACTATTCCAACACGCTTATTTGTTTGTACAAGCTACCCCAATGCAGTTCTTGGTTGACCCAAACTATCCCACATGATGCCAGGAGAGTGTTTTTTTTGCCTAAACTATTTCATGGTCTTGTCCTCAGCTGTCACACACCGGTTTGTTGCAATTGCAAAGGTTTGTTCCTGCCCCAGTGGGAAATCATGCATCACGTTTTAGCGAACTGGGTGGCTTGGTCGGGTAAATTGTCGCCCGTGTGGTTCGGGTATTTTTTTTTTTTGAGGGTTACACATGTCCAGAAAAATACCAGCAATACCATTTTTTTTCAGGCCTTCCAACGAGTTTTCCCATTGCGGTGACCATGCCTGGGCCTAATCCCCTGGTAACAACCTAAACTCCTAGATATATGTGTATAGTATATGTATATATATATAATATATATATACATATATATATATAATATATACATATATATATATATATGTACATATATATAATATATACATATATATATATAATATATACATATATATATAGTGTATATATATATACAAATATATAGAAAATTCAGGTTGTATACCTTCCATGTAAGAAAGTGTGTGGGCTGTGCTACGGCCCTGATGTTGTTGTCAAACGTTTGCTTTGCAGTTTGGCGAGGTCTTTCAAACACTTAAACCCAGTTTCACCCATTGAACTGAGGGAATTTGGTGAAAAGATTGCCTTTTCTTTGGATTGGCATTTCTAACCTTGAAAATATTGCGAGACTTCTGCCACCATAAAAAAAAATGCCCTAATTACTTGAAATCACAAAAGTCGCCCGCGGTCAGGTAAAGCTGCCTTTTTAACCACAAAAGGTAGAACTTCCTTCAAAAAGCAGAAATTACTCACAGTGGGGAAGATGTTGGTATATATATAATATATATATGTATATATTATACATAGCCTATGAAATATCCCATTGTATCCCATGATATGCCATGATATGCCATGATTTCAATCGTTGGATTAGCCCAAAATTCTTTGAGAAACCCAGCTGGTGGGGTACCAGATGGATCAAGGGAGCTTGAGATCACCCTCTGATCATCGAACATAACCATGGAAAATAAGATAGATTAATAATAATAATATAAATGAAAATTGGAAAAAAAAACATATAATCTGGTTATTTTATAATGAATGATCAGACAAAATATTTACCATATTTTTCATATAAATAATCAAATAAATTACGTATCTTTAATGGATAAATCATCTAAATGATTAGACATGGTCCATTTTCCACAGCTATGTTAATCACCAGACTGTACATACCGAAGCCAGTTGTGTCCTTTGGTACCAATATTGCTTCATATTGATTCCATTTTTTTGGTTTACCATTCCTAACATGTGTTTCATCATTGTTATCAATTTGTATCAATTGTTTCACCCTGTGTTCACAATTCTCTTGATTTATTCTCCCATTTTTTTTGGTGATACAATCTATGTTCACGAGAGACAACAACAAACTTAAGAAATTCTTCACCGTTGAGTGGATGTTTCTCGATCTGTTTGGGAAAGACATGTATCAATTCATAAGATGAACCATCAGCTTAACCATATCTAGAACTGACTGATACAATCTAAAAATCACTAAGATATATTATATAAATCTTCCACCACATGTGTGTTTTTTTTTCTATAATGTACTACCATCTGGTTATTTAACAAAGCCATGGAAAATGGCCCATAGAAATAGATGGTTTACCTATTAAAAATGGGTGGATCTTTCCATGGCAAACTGTTAAATCACCAGAGGGTACATGGAACTGCAGGTGGATATGCTAACATTTGGGGGTATATGGATGGGATCCATGTTACCATTTTTCTAGCAGCACCATGGATCCGTCATGGGTAATGTACTAAATTTGCCATCATTTTCACCATGTTCCCCCCAGGCACCTGGCCACTTTGGGCGCGCTTGGACAGGTCATCTGCCGCACCACCAGCAGGGCGGTGGTCAGCCGGAACCTGGGAGCCAGGGGACCCATGGGACCCATGGCGGGTGATCTGATGTGAAGCATTGGAAAACATCCATGACATCCATGTGAAATATGGGTAGTTCAAGTGAAGTGGTTCATAAAATGATTGTTTTTTATGGTGAACAAAAACATGTGAAACAAAAAATGGCATGGGAATTTCCCATGTGAAACCTCTCCAAGTTTAATGTTAAACATTGTTTCCACTAAGAATCCACCATGTTAAAACTATCCAGTGTTCAGAATCTAAAAAAAAACACATGATCACATAGGACATGATATATTTAATGATCCGTTCTTAAGATTCATATCAGGCTGTCATGTGGATGATTCAGATTCAAGATGATATGAAATCCCATGGATACCATTAGATTCTCAAATTATCTGAAATTGTAGGCCCTATCGCAATTTCAGCCAGTTTGCTATGGACAACCACATTTTTTTGAGAGGAAAATCATCAAACTAAACTGGTCATTTTCCCTTGCTTTGTTAGATTCCCACAGGGTAATGTTGTTGATTACTTGAAATTATCTGTGTATACATATATATATAATATTATATATATACACGATATTTAATCTATCATCAGAATCAACACCATGGTGGATAATCAACAACATGATGATACTTGCTTAACTCAATATCAACTTGATTGAATAACTCATGATAATTCACAATTTGGTCCAATTGGGGAAACAACTTATCATGTTGTTGATCCATGATGATCCACAGATGATACTTTTGTGGCACAAAATGGATAAACAACATAGTGGCTATCTATATATTTGTTATGTATATATATATATGTATATATATACATATGTATATATATATATATATCTATTATATCTTTAATGTCCCGTCCCTTCAAAAATAACAACGTCTTCAACTATCCACCTGCAACAGCCTCCCCAGCGCGCCGGTCTTTTCATTGGGGCTTCGCTGTCAGCTTCCACCGCGATACAAACGGCGGAGGCGCCGCATCAGTTGGCGGGTTTGTTCAAGAACTGAGCGCCAGCAAAAAAGGGGCGTCATGGAGATGGGGGACAAAACTGGCAAAACCCGAAAAGAGCTGGGATAAAATTGGGATAAGTACCATAAACCATAGATGCCATAGTTATTGGAGTTATAAACCAACTTAGCTATCTTGGGGACCCATTTTAAACCTAGAAATCTGTTGAAGACGTGTTTGTATTGATCCAGTCCTGCAAATCTCATGGCTTCTTGTACGAGAAAAGAGCTCAATATCCATATCTCTTCGGCAAGTGAAGATACAATGTTTTGATGAGCTGGGTTGGTAAAAGATGGTAAAAATAAGCTCCAATAATTCTGATTCTCGTAAATCCTGTCTGAATCTGCAGGGATATCTGAAAAATCCAGAAAGCATTTTCCGGTGTCTCATCACTGGTCAAGTTGGATCATCCTAAGATGCAACAGTCAATGGATGTGGAAGAAGCCCTGCACCAGTCGGTAGGTGGTTATCCCCTCAAATCCTATGATTTACCATCTGGTTATGACTAACAGTTTGCCATGGAAAGATCCACCATTTTATAGCTGGGTAAACCATCTATTTCGATTAGGGCCATCGAAATCCCATGGCGAACTGTTAGTCATAACCAGGTTGGGTAACAGTGTTTCATAGTGAACCGACGAACCGTGCACGATGGCGCAGGTCCATCCACCCTTGAATCCTTGAACGCCGAGCAGCACTGCTGTTGGTCTTGGCACGCCCCAATTTGAAGTCCTAAGCCAAGGGTGATTCATAGATTCTTTGGGCAAATGATCAGAGGTCACAGATTCAAGACTACTTACGATTATTTACCCGGCCTGGTAAACATACAAAAAGCTATTGAACATGGCCATAGAAATAGTCAGTTTTCCCATTAATAGCATGGTGGTTTTCCATAGTTTTGTAAACGTTTACCAGAGGGTATGTAAGAAGATTCAAGATGATGTAAGATGATTTTTGTTGCTCCTTTGGAATGATTGCGCCTTGTAGGGCCCCACCCTCTAAAAAAGAACTTCATCCGCCGTGAGAGTCAGAGCCCATGAGGTTACTTTGGCCGGAGTTACATCAGCTGGTTTGGCTCGGAGATTGATACGGATATCATGGAGGTGTAATAGAGATATAATGTTGTATACATATACATTTGTATATATATATATGTGGTACAACATATATATAAATAACATATATAATAGTCCGTATGCTGTATGACTAGCATCTAATAAGTACTCATCTAATTGAGAATACGTCTATAATCCTGCTTGATAATGTATATATATATAGTACATAAACTAGGAAGTAACCAGCAATATGATATGACTGCGTCTGCAAACGAACCAAAAAATGGCGCTATTTCAATGGAACATAGGGTCAACACAACAAACGATATAAATATGTGTATATATATTATACACATACATACTGTGTATATATATATATATACATATTATATATACATAATATATATATATATATATATACATAATATATATATATACACATAATATATATACATAATATATATATACATCAGTTTATATATATACATCAGTTTATATATATATAATTATATGTATACATCAGTTTTATATATATAATAATAACAATAACACTAGTAATTTATTTCATTTCTGGTCATCCATCTGAGAATGCAAATCGACGATGGGTTCAGCAAAAAATCACCAAAGATTGATTCGACCGAACAACAAAGGATTTCGACTTCGCTGACAATGTGATTTGGGTATTTGTTTAGGCTTAAACAGCCAGCTCTTTGGCAGCTTGGAGAAATTCTTAGCTACTATCCAAGATATCCAAACTTACAAGGCTGGCATAGAGATTCTTGTAATTTGTGTCATAGCTATCGAAAATCACCATTGAAATAAATCATTGAACTAAAGGGCCATGTTCCATCCATTTTCCATCAAGGTACGTCACCTGGCTCGTCCTCACCTGCTTCGTCATGTTCCTGGCTCTGTGGATTCCTACCCCTCTGAAAAATGATGGAGTGAAGGGTCAGTTGGGATCATTATTCCATTCCCAATATGATGGAAAAATATAAAAGGTTCCAAACCACCAACCAGCTAAGGTTGAATTTGAATTCTATCTGTGGGTCTGTTGGTCATGTCGTCATTTCTCAGATAGACAAATAATTACAGTTGCAAAGAGATACTTAGAATATGTTCCAAAATTGAAAGCCTCGTACTTAGAACCATCTGGCAATTTTGAAAAATCCATATACTTACGAGGAAAATATGGGAACGCGTATTTAGAACAAGACAATGCACTTAGAACCAAACACATGCACATATAATTTGATGGTGGGATTGAAAGATAGAGATATATGGTATGCATTTCACGTGTCTGCGCAGCTTACATCGGGACCATGGCAAGTCGGCCCGGCTTCAAAATAAGACAGGTTCTAAGTACCTGTTTCTGTAAGGATTTTATCAAGGAAACGCAAACCCAAATTTAGTTCTATGATTCCATGTTGATGAGTGAAAATATGGCAAGTATGTGGCGTGTTTGCATAGCTTAAAAACACTGCATGGCCTCCTCTTGGCGAAATGCAAGGATTGTGGAACCAGTCCACTAGATTAGGTGCTGCCGCGGTAGGAGGTACTTAGAACAAGGTATACTTGGGGTACTTAGACTAAAGCAGCATGAAACTAGCGATGGTGATGATCATGAAGAATTACCAAAAAGCTGTGACTCGGGGAAAAAAAACAAAAACAACCAACATGTATTCTAAGTACCTCTTGACGGCTATGGAGAAACAAACGGACAAACAGACAGACAGACAGACACACATATAGGTAGCTGTTTCAATCTAGAAATATCTAGGAATTGACTGTTCGATTCAATACATTTCAATACACATTAATCATTAAACTGTAGAAATTGAGATGAAATGTAGAAATGGATAGGACACATATGAAAAAAACATCTCCCCAACTTCTGCGATTTCGCAAAAAAATCGCCCACCTCGTCGGGCGAGATCGCGGGCATGGAGGAGTAGCGAGAGAAGGAGCCGCGCTGAGCAGTCGAGTTGCAGGTCTTAAAAAACCCCGATCATCCAGTGGTACAACCGATGGATTTATATCATGCATTTCTTTGGGTTTTTTTTATCATGGTTTTCTTCAAATCCAACAACCCTGACATATCAAATGGATTCCTTTGGTTTGACATGGTTTGGCCATGTTTGGCCAAACTCGGATGGTGTGTCACATGCTTGTGATATAATTTACAAAACACCCATCCCAATCCATTTCGCAGCGAGTAAAGCGGCATTCCCATGCATTCCCAACATACCTCAATGGTTTCGCAGGTTACGGGAGATCTTAGGCTCATTTTTAGGATCTGCCATCTGGTAAACTAAAATAACCATGAAAAATCGATCATGACGATCAACCATCAAATTTTGAGGGGCCTATTTTGAGACAGATCCATATTTTCCAACTTCATTTAAGAATGCCCATGCTTTTGGTGACAGAGCCTCGGTGGGGGTGGTGTGGGGTGGAGACGGGCGAAGTGGGGCGGAGTGGGCCAATAACGTTCCCATGACGTTCCCTTGCACATGCATTTGATGCTACGCCACTCAGATCCACTCAGTGTTTACTCGCATGTGAACATGCATTTGATGCTACGCCAGTCGATGTTTACTTGTATGTGCTCATGCACTTGATGCTACGCCACTGGATGTTTACTTGCATGTGCAGTGCACACATACTTGATGCTACACTACTGGATGTTTACTTGCATGTGCACATGCATTTAATGCTATGCCACTCAATGTTTATTTGCATGTGCACATGCATTTGATGCTACGCCGCTCAATGTTTACTCGCATGTGCACATGCATCTGATGCTACGCCACTCGATGATTACTTGCATGTGCACATGCACTTGATGCTACACCACTGGATATTGATATACTTGCATGTGCACACGTACTTGATGCTACACTACTGGATGTTTACTTGCATGTGCACATGCATTTAATGCTATGCCACTCAATGTTTATTTGCATGTGCACATGCATTTGATGCTACGCCACTCAATGTTTACTCGCATGTGCACATGCATTTGATGCTATGCCACTCGATGATTACTTGCATGTGCACATGCACTTGATGCTACACTACTGGATATTGATATACTTGCATGTGCACACGTACTTGATGCTACCCTATTGGATGTTTACTTGCATGTGCGCACGTACCTCAAGCTACGCTAAAGCATGTTTACTTGCATGTGCACATGCATTTAATGCTAGTCCACTCAATGTTTACTGGCATGTGCACATGCATTTAATGCTACGCCACTCGATGTTTACTGAGTTTACCGGCATGTGCACAAGTACTTGATGCTACCCCACTGGATGTTTCTTGCATGAGCGCACGTACTTGATGCTAGACTACTGGATGTGTACTTGCATGTGCCCGCATACTTGACGCTACACTACTGCATGTTATGCATTTGATGCTACGCCACTCAATGTTTACTGGCATGAACACATGCATTTGATGCTACGCCACTGGATGTTTACTTGCATGTGCACATGCACTTGATGCTACACCACTGGATATTGATATACTTGCATGTGCACACGTACTTGATGCTACACTACCGGATGTTTACCTGCATGTGCGCACGTACCTGAAGCTACGCTACTGCATGTTTACTTGCATGTGCACATGCATTTGATGCTACGCTACTGCACGTTTACTTGCATGTGCACACGTGCTTGCTACGCCACTCGATGTTTACTCGCATGTGCACAAGTGCTTGATGCTTAAGGCTTAAGAAGGCTTTGTTCCAACTTCCAGTCAAAAAAAGTAACCCACGCAGAGTCGAGGCAAAAACAGTGCCTAACGTGCTGCAAAGGTCGCCCGAAATGAACTTCTTCGGTAATCCTTCCATGACTTTCAGCCCCTGACACCAATAAACTTCCAATCAGAACTATCAAAAACACTAGGTTTTGTGCACATTGCATTTTTATCACTATTTCAGAACGCGAGTAATGGAACCCTACTCAAATATTTACTCCGTGGAACCTCAACTTCAATGTCCCATGATGTGGTAAACAATGATGAACTGTGAACTGTCCCCAATGATTTCCGTGTAAAAATACGTGTATATATATATATATGTATATACATATATTATACACATATGTAAACATACATAAACATGATCAACCATAAAAGGGCACAAAAAATAGTTGATTCAATCATTCCAGGAAAAACAACTATACCCATTTTCACACACAACAAATTATGGTTAAGATCCGTACGCACCATTTGAGAAGCTTTTTACGATGCTTCTTTCTGGCAGTGGTTTTTTCTAACCCACACTTTTCCAGAAAGAAACATCGTAAAAAAACATGTTTTTTTTTGTGTTCAAACCATGTTTTTTCAAGAACATGGACCAATGGACCAATGGACCAATCATCTGAAGAACCCCAATCCATCGGACAAGGCACAATCACGGCGGTGCAAATCCTGGGGCGTGATGTGAACATCATCGTTGATCACACGAAATTTTTAAAAAAAGGCTAAAACAATATGCCATCTGCAAAAAAAACGAGAATGTCATCACCCATTTTTTTTTGGTGGTATAAGTGTATAAGTATATATGTTTATATATGTTTACCATTCCCAGTCATGGTAAAACTGACATGCTTTTCCCCAAATTCCGAGCGACATGGGTGCAGGTCTGGGGGGTACCCACTGAGTCCCTGGGATCCCAGACCGGGATAATCCCAGACCGGCAGCCGGAAGCCGGTAAAGTAAATCATACCCTCTGGTAAAATGGTGATTTAACCACTAGGAAAATGGTGATTTTATGATGGTTTAATGGTGATCTAATGGGATTTACCCTCTGGTAAATTAACATGTTGACCCTGAGAATCACCAATTCTTAATGGAAACTAATCTTCCAACCCCGATGACTGCCAGGGTCTATGTTAATTTACCGGAGGCTATTCAACGATTTTTTGGGGGGATTCCATATTTGGGATGGCCATATTCTGACTTTGATCCAGGCACTTCTTCAGAAGAACCGTTAGCTCGTTCACGTCGGAGAAGAAGGCTTTGGCCTCCGACAAATTTTGTGGCTAAATCGAAGCCAAAGCTGAGACATGACAAATGACCATACCCCCAATGGATGACAAACTGGTTGGTGGTTTTAACATGTTTTAACCATATTGAAAAATATTAGTCAATGGGAAGGATTATCTCATATATTATGGAAAATAAAAAATGTTCCAAACCACCAGCCAGTGGAAAATATGCCCCTTGAACGTGGTGTCCCTGCTAACGCTAAGTTGATTTATAGCCCCAATAACTAGGATTCATGTTAGAATGTATCAAGATACCCTCTGGTAATTTAACATAGCTATGGAAAATGACCATTTATAGTTAATTTACTTATTAAAATAGTGATGTTCTACAGCTATGTAAACGTTTACCGGTATATCTCACTGATTTATGGGGTAACATAACCAACAAAGTTAGAGGTGGCATCAGCCTGTATCTGCTGATATGTGACACAATGAAATGATTCAATAGATTCAATAGATCGATCCATGATTTATCATGGTGGATGCTTAGATGGGCCATGGAGTTAGGGAAAACTAGTTAGTAAATGGATTATACTTGGGATATAGGGGGCTATATCCCCAGTTACTAACCATGAATCGCTAATCCCATGGCCCATCTAAGTATTACTATATCTATTGATCCACAAAAACGGGTTGCAAAAAATAGGGCATCCCCAAAACCCATGGATTCAAGACTAAAATTGACTAATGACTTGGAATATTTTTTGGATAAGCCACATGACATAGGAAACCACCAATTCCATTGATTCTTATATTCAAGATATAATACCATTGGTTAGCATCATATTCCCCTGGTTATTGAACATAGCTATGGAAAATGTCCCACTTATAGATCATGTATGATAATTAACCTATTAACAATGGTGATTGTCCAGTTCGCTATGTTAAATAACCAGACGGCAATATCTATAGGACAACTACCGTAGGAAACTATCATCCAATTGAGATATATGACTAAATATATATATATATATATATAATTATATATACATATATCCATCATAATTATACGGGTCCAAATATATATATATATATAATTATATATATATACATATGTATATATATAATACACATATATCACATTGATACTCATGATATCTATCGATATTCCTGGTTGCCTGGGTGGGCTTCCTTCCGACCGTGGCGGTGAAGATGTGAGGTCCGGCTGCATGGACCTTTTGCGACGCGACATCAATCAAGACTTGGGACTTCACCTTGGAGATGGTAAAACTGCTCTCTGTATCTCTTTATGGAAATATATATATACACTGGTTGGTGGTTTTAACCATCTTGAAAAATATGAGTCAATGGGAAGGATTATCCCATATATTGTGGAAAAACATGTTCCAAACCACCAACCAGTATATATATATATATATATAATGGCCATTTATACTGGATTTGCCCATGAAAAATGGGTGGATCTTTCCATAGCGATTTGTTAAATTTCCCATATAAAACTACTGTCTGTATCTGTTTCTGGATATATACTGGTTGGTGGTTTTAACCATCTTGAAAAATGATGGAGTTCGTCGGTTGGGATGATGACATTCCCAGTATGATGGGAAAATTCATGTTCCCAATACATATGGAAAATTAACATAGCTATGGGAAATCACTATTTTTTTGTGGGTACTAGTAAATCCACTATAAATGGCCATTTTATGTAAATATATATATATATATATATATCCATAAACAGATATAGACAGTAGTTGCACCATATCTGGGATATATATATATATATAGTAAATCACTGGATATATCTGGGATTATCTGGGCAAATTATCATACTTCACTAACCTGAAACTTTTTTGGCCACTAGACGACGGATGGCCCGAGAGCGTAGAGGAGCAGAGTCTTCTGTTGTTAGTATGGAGACACTATATTACAAGATAATATGATAAAGATGTATTATAGGCAGACGAGAAGAGTAGTATCAAGACAATATATGACTAGTACAAGACAATAGTTTGCATCGTATTTTTGTAAAGTTTTTCATACACAGAACTTTTTACAGACAGACGCTTTTGCACACAGAGACTTTTACACACAGACGCTTTTACACACAGACGATTTTGCATACAGAGACTTTTACACCCAAACACTTTTACACAGAGACTTTTACATACACAGACGCTTTTACACACAGAAGCTTTTACACACAGACGCTTTTACACACAGACGCTTTTACACACAGGCTTTTACACACAGACGCTTTTACACACAGACGCTTTTACACACAGAAGCTTTTACACACAGACGCTTTTACACACAGAGACTTTTACACACAGACGCTTTTACACACAGACGCTTTTACACACAGACGCTTTTACACACAGACGCTTTTACACACAGACGCTTTTACACACAGACGCTTTTACACACAGACGCTTTTACACACAGAGCCTTTTACACACAGACGCTTTTACACACAGACGCTTTTACACACAGACGCTTTTACACACAGACGCTTTTACACACAACACACTTTTACACACAGACGCTTTTACACACAGACGCTTTTACACACAGACGCTTTTAACCACAGACGCTTTTACACACAGACGCTTTTACACACAGACGCTTTTACACACGCTTTTACACCAAACACTTTTACACACACTTTTACACACAGACGCTTTTACACACAGACGCTTTTACACACAGACGCTTTTACACACAGACACGTTTACACACGCTTTTACACACAGACGCTTTTACACACAGACGCTTTACACACAGGCTTTTACACACAGACGCTTTTACACACACACACGCTTTTACACACAGCTTTTACACACAGACGCTTTTACACACAGACGCTTTTACTTTTACACACAGACGCTTTTACACACAGACGCTTTTACACACAGAGCTTTTACACACAGACGCTTTTACACACAGACGCTTTTACACACAGAAGCTTTTACACACAGCTTTTACACACAGACGCTTTTACACACAGACGCTTTTACACACAGACAGCTTTTACACACAGACAGAGGCTTTTACACACAGAAGCTTTTACACACACGCTTTTACACACAGACGCTTTTACACACAGACGCTTTTACACACAGACGCTTTTACACACAGACGCTTTTACACACAGACGCTTTTACACACACGCTTTTACACACAAACACTTTTTTTGCACACAGACGCTTTTACACACAGACGCTTTTACACACAGACGCTTTTACACACAGACGCTTTTACAGACAGCTTTTACACACAGACGCTTTTACACAGACACGCTTTTACACGCTTTTACACACAGACAGCTTTTACACACACGCTTTTACACAGATGCTTTTACACACAGATGCTTTTACACACAGACGCTTTGACACACAGACGCTTTTACACACAGAGGCTTTTACACACAGACGCTTTTACACACAGACGCTTTTACACACAGACGCTTTTACACACAGACGCTTTTACACACAGACGCTTTTACACACAAACTTTTACAGACGCTTTTACACACAGACGCTTTTACACACAGACGCTTTTACACACAGAGCTTTTACACACAGAGACACTTTTACACACAGACGCTTTTACACACAGAGCTTTTACACACAGACGCTTTTACACACAGACGCTTTTACACACAGAAGCTTTTACACACAGAAGCTTTACACACAAACACTTTTTACACACAGACGCTTTTACACACAGAAGCGCTTTTACACACAGACGCTTTTACACACAGACGCTTTTACACACACAACGCTTTTACACACAGACGCTTTTACACACAGACGCTTTTACACACAGACGCTTTTACACACAGACAAGTCCGGCACAAGTAAAATCGCAATTTTTTCCTCAGTTTTTGACGATCGACCCTCATTTCGTGCGAAAGGGTTGCTCCGGGACAAGTAAAATCGCAATTTTTCCTCAGTTTTTGCCGATCGACCCTCATTTCGTGCGAAAGGGTTGCTTTAGCACAAGTAAAATCGCAATTTTTCCTCAGTTTTTGACGATCGACCCTCATTTCGTGCGAAAGGGTTGCTCCGGGACAAGTAAAATCGCAATTTTTCCTCAGTTTTTGACGATCGACCCTTATTTCGTGCGAAAGGGTTGCTCCGGGACAAGTAAAATCGCAATTTTTCTTCAGTTTTTGACGATCGACTCTCATTTCGTGCGAAAGGGTTGCTCCGGGACAAGTAAAATCGCAATTTTTCCTCAGTTTTTGACGATCGACCCTCATTTCGTGCGAAAGGGTTGACGTTTCGTGACTCGCCGCCGGCACCACCCTCGGCCTTAAGAGAGAAAGATAAAGAAGGCGAGAGAGAGAAAAGGGAGAGAGAAAGGAGAGAAGATGTGAAGATGAGCAGATGTGAGAGAAGATGTGAAGATGAGCAGATGTGAGAGAAGATGTGAAGAGCAGATGTGAGAGAAGATGTGATGTGAAGATGAGCAGATGTGAGAGAAGATGTGAAGATGAGCAGATGTGAGAGAAGATGTGAAGATGAGCAGATGTGAGAGAAGATGTGAAGATGTTTTACAGACCCCCACTATTGGAAGAACCCTGCGCTCAGACGCTCTCGGGAATAAAAGGGGATGATTTCCCTAACATAAAACATGATTCTAGGGTTCGGGAGAACAGCGAGGTCGTTAAAAATTGCCCAGATATGTATATATATATATACGTATATATGAAGAAACGGATAGTACATATGGTGCAGATACTGAAGACATCTGAAAAACTAGATTACGAAAAACTGACGAGAAGTAAATTCATATCAAAGAACAAAATTACACTAATTATCAATACGAATACAGGTCTCAACTATGAAGGAAACGAGCTATTAATTCAATACATTGATAGCTCGATTTTTGGGACTTAATTCACCTGTTTTTTTGACTGTTTTCTTGGGGACGATCCGCGGGACGATCCGCTCGATCCACATGATTTACTGTGAGGTGGTTGCAAGGCCTAAGGCCCCGGTTTTATTTGCAATGGATATAGGACTTTGGTACATTCACGTTTGGGGATTGAAGTAGAAGTACTTCAGTACTTCTAGAATTTCACGAAAAGCTGAAAAAACTTCGTGAAATGAGATGAAATGAATGTGGCTCACGCTTCTTCCTCCATTTGAGCAGTGTTCAAAATCCCTGTCGATCATTCCATTTAATCCTGGTCTGTGTTTTTTTTCGGGATTTCCCGTTCTTGGATTAGAATCCCCAATATATGAAGGGTAATTTAATTCTTGAACTAATCATTAACCAATTAGCATTTATCAACATATATCAACTATATCAACTATAATCCTATATGATTGATGGTTAAATCCCATATAAATCATCACACAGTAAAAAAAACAACAACAACACATGTTTGATGGTTAAATCAACTATAACTGGTTGGTGGTATACCTACCCCTCTGAAAAAATATGAGTTCGTCAGTTGGGATGATGAAATTCCCAACTGAATGGGCAGTCATAAAATTCATGTTCCAAACCACCAACCAGATAATATTGGCGATTGGCTGAACATCAAGATACCATGTAAATGCCATAATCCCATATATAAATGCCATATAAATCAACTATATCAATATCAACTATAAATGCCATAAATCAACTATATCAACTATAAATGCCATAAATCAATTGTATCAACTATAAATGCCATATAAATTATAAATGCCATCAAAAAATATTCAACCAACCAGGTTTTGGTTTTTTTCGACATCATCCCCTCATCCGATCAGCCGATCAGCCGCCTGCATCCTCATGATCGGTGAACTGGCAGAGGGCGGCAAGTCCTGTGCCGTGGGGCCGCGGCGCGACCGGTGAATGGGAACGGAGAAAAACCCATGGATTTTGACCATGAAAAAACCCATTGGGGGGATTTTCTGTAAGTGTTTCTGGGAAAAAAACACTCCAATGAATCACAATTCTGGATTGGATTCATAGATGATTTGAGATTGATTGTATCCAGAATTCTTCTGGGACATTTAGATTGATTTTCTAGGGGTGGGCTTAAAAATAGTTTTCCAGGGTGTGAGAAGAGCGATCAAGTGACCTGATAGTTTGTTGGTGTCCTACTGTTCTATGTATTTTGGGCTGCTGGATACAAGGCTTGACATGGCTTTGTCTCCATTTCGTTGTAGTCAAATAGCGTATATTGGCCATAACTTGGTTTTGTATACAACTTTACCAGCTTTTTTGTGAGTTCCTTCCTTCTGTTTTCAGTATTGATATCAGAAGGTTGTTGGTGCCATCCCTGTTTTGTTCGTCCATGTTCCTGTTTTCCAGTGCAGAGTCCAGAGTCATTTTATGTGAGTCTTTGACCCCGCGTTATGGCATGAGAAAACATGCATTGCTGTTTGCCTTCTGTTGATCCTATTATTACCCTCTGGTAAACAGCCACATAACTATGGACAGATCCACCATTTTTTATGTGTAAATCAACTATTTCTATGGCCATGTTCCAGTTCGCTTTTTGTTTGTTTACCAGAGGGTTATCCCAATTGAAACTTGATGATCTGCCCAGTGGGTGCTGGCAAATCTGGTTTATCACCAAGATGGGGGTTTCAGAAAGTCATGGGGGTACCCCAGTTATCATTCATTTTCTAGTTGGTGGTAGACCTACCCCTCTGAACAATATTATATAGTCAGTTGGGATTATAATTCCCAATATATGGAAAAACATGTTCCAAAGCACCAACCAGTTTTAGTAGGATTTTCCATGAAATAAACGATCCATTTGGGGGTACCCCTATTTATGGAAAGCTTCATAGAATGATCACAATCCCTAGACTTCCACACAGGCCTCCTGCGAAGGTCTTTGAACTTGAGCCCATGTCCCAATACCTTCAATCCACCTTCTCGGAAAATGTTTTGAAGTCCAAGGAATGCTATAGCTTAACAGTTTGCCATGTTGTTCTTTATTGCTGGTTTCCCATATTATATTGCCGCTAAAAAAACCCATCATATCCCTATTGATGGCAAGGTATCCCTCCATTATCTCCCTATACACCTAATGTTGTACATATTATCATCTCTGTTTATCCCCATATGGAGGTTTCCCAACTTTGAGCCGCAGGTCACCATGGGTTTCAATACTGAAATGGTCTAATGATTTAAATGATTTGGGGGTAACCCACATGACGTAGAAAACCTCGAAATCCATTGATTCTTCTCTTCCCATCTAATCCCATTGATTATCATCACATTCCCCACATCACATTTCTAGATAATTATAGAATTATAGATATCAACGGTTGGTTGGTTAGCCAGATATGATTATCCCTATCAATGGTTACCCAAATCTGATGAGTTTTTTTTTTTTTAAATAACAAAAAACAACAACTATAGATAATTATAGATATCCCCATCTTCTATCACTTAAAACTTTGGCAAATGTTGGTGGTTTCAACCTACCCCTCTGACAAATGATGGACTTCGTCAGTTGGGATCATTGTCCCATTCCCAATATGATGGGAAAATCATAAAATTCCATGGTTCCAAACCACCAACCAGATATGGGTATGGGTCAAAATTAGGTACCCCAAAATTATGGATGGTTAATACTAAACTAGACTAACATCTGTGGTTCCCTAGGTCTTCCATTTTGACCCACATCCATATGTCATATCTCACGATATTTGGACACATGCGATGATATCACGTGATCTCTTCGCATCCGAAAAAAAAAAAAAAAACATAAAACCGTCCCAACCACCAAGCAGATTACTATTAACCATCATTAACCATATATTAACCATTATTAAGAGTATATTATATTAACCACATATTAACCAGATCTATATATATATCCCTACATATCCCGATTGTTGGTTAACCATATATTAACCAACCACTTGGCAATTTCTTTGCTTTCCCATGGTGGATTCTCCCTGTTCTCAAACGGCCGAGTGGCGATGGAATCCTCATTGAAGGCCACGCTCCGCGGCGGCGGGCGAGGACGGTCCTGCGGAAGATTTCACCGAGGAACATGGGGATATCATGGGGATATCATGGGGATATAGTTGGATATACCTTCTGGTAAACTATGGAAAGATCCACCATTCTTAATGGGACAACTCACTATAAATGGCCATGTTCAATAGCCATGTAGGATATAAACATGATATGGTATATACATATATATAATATATATTATATATATATATCGCAGATATGGTAAAACTACTGTCTATATTTGTTTATGGATATACCCATGTGGGATGTAGTGGGATATAGCTATATCATGTGGGATATTAAAAAAACATAATGATATAGTGGGGATATACCCTCTGATAAACAGCCACATAACCATGGACAGATCCACAATTTTTAATGGGGAAATCAACTATTTCAATGGCCATTTTCAATAGCTGTGTAATAAATTACCAGAGGGTAACCATGATATGAAATGGGATGTAGTTCATGTGGGATATCCATGATATTTCATGGTTCTATCCCATGATATAGTTTTTTTGTGGGATGTAGTGGGATATAACCAGCATGATATGAAAATTCGACAGGGTGAGGCCACGTAGGACGATAACTTAAGTTGACTATGGTTGTAAAACCACATTTTTTCCTGGGGGGTCTCACCGGCTGTATGGTTGGAGCCGATTTATCATAGCTAAGTTCGTAAACACATATATCAATGTGAGGCCCCCAAGATAGCTAAGTTGGTTTATAACTCCAATAACTGTGGTTTTTGGTACTTATAACTATAGTTACTGGGGCTTATAAACCAACTTATAACTGGGGGGCCTCACATTGTAGGTATCGGTCTTGGTAAATTCTATGATTGATGGATGTTGACCATGGGATACTCCCATCCCGGTCATATTTTCACACCCACAAAATCGATGGTCCCAACTACGTGTAAATACATGTAAATACCATATAAATAACCCTACTAAGCCATTGTTGCTGAGGGGTGTTTCATGTTAGGGGCAAGGGATTTTCAAACATAGGTCATAGGGCTTGTAAACGAATAAACGTAACTGAGTGGCCACTTTGTACTTGGTTCATACCAATAAACGGCTCAAATCAGTCCATATGGGACTAAAACCCGCTTACTGGGGTGAAATACCAAGTACTAAAACCCGCAAATCTTCACATCTGCATCAATATGAACCGCTCCAACTGGGTTTCCAAACTGGACATTACATATGTTAAAAACGCTGGTAGTTTGTTGAATAGAACTAGTTCGACCTTTGGGAACTCAAACATGGTCACAGTTTGGCCTGTTCAATAGAAATTGGAGTCCAACCACCAAATTGAGGAATCATTTTGATGAAGATTCAACTTGAGACAGCAAACAAGAAGAGAATTTCGGGGTTCAGAAAAAATGGACGTGGCCAACCTAGGATTTTGATGCAGTTTCTCTGAAACATAGTGAGGACATCGGTCGGATACTTGGATTACTTGGATCATATTCTGCAATCGCTGGGGTCGAGGGTGGCCATAACCAGAATACACTTTGCATATGTTCGAGAAATCTACCAGCAGCTGTCTTCTTGGTTGCCTCATCTCTGGCAAAATCCTTCTTACTCACAAAGGTTAAATCCCTAAGGTGGCACTTCACATAAATCACTCACAAAAAAATCCTGAATCTTAGGGCTGAAATCTCCAGTTTCCGGAACTATGGATGATGGCCCATGGCACTGATATCTCAGCTTATCTTGCGGGCCCTATCCTTTAGACTTTGCTGCATCCACGTCTCGGTGGGGGGCCTTGGGCGAGGCCGTCGGCGACTGCGACTCGGCGGGCGAGACTTCGCCAAAGGCATCCAGGGAGGCCAGAGACCTGGCACAGTGCCATGGCAGGAAAAATGGTATCGGTGGATAGAATCTACTAACAGTACCTTCTGGTAAATTAACTAACTACAAAACCATAGGAAAATGGTGATTTAACCACTATAAATGGTGATTTTATGATGGTTTAATGGTGATCTAATGGGATTTACCCTCTGGTAAATTAACATAGACCCTGAAAATCAGCAATTTTTAGTGGAACCTAATCTTCCAACCCCTATCTGGAAGGGTCTATGTTAATTTACTGGAGGGTAATAGTTACTATAATATTCATGGATTACTAATAGTATCAATGGATAATACTAATAGTCCAGCAGTAATAGATAAATACTAGTAGAAATTATCCACTATGTGATATCCATAAATAATAGTATTGGCAATGATAGATATAGTAATAAAAAGATGATATATTGGTAGATGATATACATAATAAATAAGAATAATATATAGTAGATAATTAGTATTAGCATTGATAATGGTATCTAGTAATAGGTGATAGTGATATTCTATGAGTGATATATCTATAGACTATATTAGTAACCTTTCTTAACGGTAATAATAGTGAGCAGTGGATAATACTACTAGTAGCAGTGGCAGTATCTATTACTATTAGTGCCATCATAGAATAGTATTAGTGGCAATTTCTTCTCTTCGTAATAGTAATAGTCTAACTGATGGTATCAACAAATTATAGATAGATTTTGAATCACCAATGGATATTTGATATCAACCGCCATTATCTATCTATCTGGTAACCTAGCAGTGAATAATACTAATAGTATTGATGATAGACAGATAGATAATAATACCAATAGTCGATAGATAGGTAGTCTAAATCATAGATAATAATAATAATAACAATAATAATACCAATGATAATAGAATGACTCAGAATGACAATAACATCGCTGGATAGTAATGTTGACATGATGGCCTTATATCACTGTCAATGGATCTTATTAATAGTAATAACAAAAAAGTAAATAGATACTAATAAAAATTATTCACTGATAGTAGAATAATCATAGTATTAGACAGATAATGATAGAACATAGAATAATATTACCAAAAATAATATAATGATAATAATTGCACTGAATACTATTAGTAATAGAATGAAATAGATATGATATAATCTATCTAATGGTATGTGATAGATTTAAAAAAAGCACACTAGTAACACTAATAATATAGTAATAAATCACTGAGTCACTGGATTGTAATAGTAATATGATACCTGGGATCGTTAGTAGGAATAGTAGTATCCATAGATAATAAATAATGGCAATCGTATCACATCACTGTGATGATTACTATTGGACAATTATCATAGCCAATGGATAGTGATATGAATAATAACGGATAATGATAGTAACAAATGGAAAATAAATGGATAATAGTATATTGATGTGACAATAATAGATGGATAATGATAGATCGCAATGTTTAATAAGAGTAATAATAAGATATATGAAAAATAAAATTAGTAATAGTGATATGATTGATAGTCTAATGATAATAGCAATGCGGAAAATTAGTACTTAATGGGATCATTACTACAATTGATTGGAGTAGGAGTAATAATGGTGATAGCTAGTGGAATTATTTATAGTACTAGGAACTTCAGCAGTAGTTATCAATATTACCAATATAACTCGAGGATACACTTATTGGCAGTTAGATTGGTCAGTGGAATTTGTGAATGGGTTGGTTAATGGAGATTGTTAGTATCTCACTTAAATACAAACTACCCATAATACAACCATGCATGTTGATTTTTGACAGACAAGATTAATGATTAACCCATGGATCATTTGAACACCAACATCAACGTATCAATGATTGCTGGGTTGAACAATGAACTTAAAGGGCACAAACAAATTTGGATTCCATTGCCTGCGAAAGAAAGACAAATCTTACACATTCCCGAATACCAATATCGTATTTAGTATTAACATCAATAACTACTAAGTAACCAATCATATGTCAGATGGATCATAATGGACATTGCAATATAATATTGATTTGATGGGATATGTGACATCTGATTGGGCTGTCTACATTTCTGTGTATGTATTTATATATATATATCATTATCAGAACAATCACATTATAACTTGACCATGATTATCAGTATTCAAAGTAATAACAACCTTCCCGTGGACAATCACAACAGCAATTGACATAGCAAGATCGATGGGATATGGAGGTTTCCTAAAATAGTGGTACCCCTATTTTATCCATTTCAATACGATTTTCCATTAAGTATAAACCAACCATATTGGGGGTACCTCCATTTATGGAACCCCCCATATTAGCATACGGAAATCGGCCTCGGAGTGCGATCCGTCCCGACGCCCTTAAAATTTCCCCGGACGCGCACCCTGCTCCGCTCTTCTTGAAACCCATGGAAGAACCTGGAGAGTTGGACCGCAGTCATTGGGGCAATAGCTAAAAAGAAACACTGGTTGGTGGTTTTTCGCCCTACCCCTCTGAAAAATGATGGAGTTCGTCAGTTGGGATGATGACATTCCCAATATATGGAAAAATAAACAATAATCCAAACCACCAACCAGAACAACACGTTTTCGGCTCAGCAATGGTGCTCATAAGGTGTTCTTAATGTTCTAACTTGGGGAGCGTAAAGGGTTCTGGGGAACATCCCCCTATACATGGAGGTTTTACATGAAAATATTTTTTTAATTGTGGAGTTTCCATTGCCACCTTCGAATATTGGAATATGTATGAAATACTTCCTGGTGCTTAGTAGGGAATGGATGGGAATGGGGGTTGCTCGGATTATTATTGATAGTTGGCCAGTGGATCATTCCCCAAAATTCCCTACGTTTAGCACAAGTAAGAACTGGTTGGTGGTATACCTACCCCTCTGAAAAATGTGAGTTCGTCAGTTGGGGTTACTATTCCCAATAGATGGAAAGTCATAAAATTCATGTTCCAAACCACCAACCAGAAGAATATTCCACACATGCCCACCGCCCGGCTTCCCTTGTTTTTCCCAAGTCGCTTTGGGACAAAGCACTGGATAATGCCATAGCGTCGGCCTGCAGGATATCAGTATCAGGCCATGGCATAGATTGGCGTACATCTGTAGGGATGGCCTCTGGTAAACATACAAAAAGCTATTGTATGGTGATTTAACCACTTTAAATGGTGATTTTCCATGGTGATTTAATGGTTTAACAATGGTGAATAATAGGATGATATGGGATTTATCCTCTGGTAATGATATACAAAAGCTATTGAACATGGCCATTGAAATAGTTGATTTACCCATTGAAAAGGGTGACTTTCCATAGTTATGTAAACGTTTACCAGAGGGTATAATGGAAAACCACCATCATAGGCAAATCCTCCATACATGGCAATTGTAGGCAATTTTCCCTAGCGATGCTAAATCACCAGAACGCATGTGAAACTTCGGTGCCCCTAATCCCTGACGCGAAACCACAACTTGCCTGAGCATGTTGAGTCTCGACTCGACTCAATTTCGGTTTGTCCGAAAAAATTGTATCTACTTTAACATGTGGGTGTTGATCTGGGGCAGCTACAATCGCCGATCAACCGCGAATCAACCGCGATCCCACAACCCACAACGGTGTCAATCGGGGGAGGGTTCTGTCGTATGCGGCACTATTTTGCGCAGAGAATCATCAAAACATTGCTACAGATCACAGTATTTAGAGATCTATGGCGTGAGCCAGGCCTACTCGGGTTTAACAATCGCGGAGCAAGCACGGATCAACCGCGAACCAATCGCGGATTTCATCGACATTTTTTGAAAATTGAATTAGTCTGGGTTGTTAGACTTGGAACTTGTTGTTCTGATAATTGTTCTGTTTCTTCTTTGATATTGGCTATCACTATTGAACAGAGTGTCTAGGCAGACCCGAATACACTATAATTAAGGCATATTAAGGCTGAAATGTAGCATAATTATCATGCGTACCATTAAACCATATTAAATTGATTTCTCCTCTTACAATAGTTATATACAACAAATGTTTGTCTCAATCGCGAACCAATCGCCCATCAATCGCGACGCAGGGTTTTACAATCGCGGATGCTGAAATACAGATACACATGCCCTTTCTTAATTCTTAGACTTGCATTTGTGATCGGCTCCCATCATCTCCCATCTATTGGTCTTCAAAGTCAGATTCCCATAGAAATGGTGTTTCACCCCATAATCTGCGTACTCTTACCCTTTTTTAGGGCTTCTTGGAGGGTTCCTGGTAGATGTTTTTGCATTGAAAACCCGCCAGGGCTAGGTCCGAACGCGACCTTGATGTGGAAGTAGTGGCTGATTGCTTCAAACCTCAGCGTTTTTTGAGCGTTGCAGGGCGTAGCACTTCTGGAAGTTTTGAGATGCAAATCGTAGCATGAAATGATTGTATGATCTAATATCTAATTATAATATTAGTGATTTTTGTTTTGCAATATTGGATTATATGTCGTAATTATCCAATCCAGTCAAAATTTCAATTACCTGAATGTTGGATTATTGATGATTATTGTTTATAGCCCCCAATCCAAGATGCCGATGTGATCGCAAAATCCAATTCTAAAGTAGAGGTAAAGTTCCTGGTAAAGTGGTCCGTGTTGATATCTATTGAATAATGGATTGCTAAAAGTGAAAATTGAATATTTTTTCTTTTGTGATTCATCTTATATAAATGATCTTGAATCATCTTGAAAGCATGGATGCTCTTACAGTATCATCTCCACCGATCAGAATTCCCGGAGTTTCACCCATTTTTTTCCTAGGAAAAAGAGTGAACAAAAACACCATTTTTCATAGGAAAACATGAAACAAACACCATTCAATGGCCATGTTAGGAACCTAAATTGGAGGTACCTACCATATATAAGGCCTATTTTTCAGGCCTATGTAAGGGAATATCACCACAAAATATGGCCAAACATATGGTACTAACGTACCTCCATTTTAGGATCCTGAAATTCCCATTGAACCATTTTTCATAGGAAAAAAAATGATCGAGTACGAGATTCACGCATGTTCATGGCTCTCACCCAGGCTTCCCCACATGTCCTCGTCCGATCGATCGTCACCAACACCTCACGGATGGGTCAAAAAACACACCAGGTACCCTCCAGCGTCATCATATGTGGCTGGAAAATCCCCTATGAACGATGGGAAAATCATAGGAAAATATGTGAAAATATGGGAAAATCATAGGAGCATATTAATGGAACAAAATACGGGAAACCCTCCTATACATGGCAATTTCTGGCTGGGAACATTTTGAAAATCAACTATAAAGGTTGGATTGTCAAGCAAGCCAAGTTCGATTACCAGAGGGTAAGTGACTGGTTCAATAGCTATGATACCCTCTGGAAATGGTTTGCTGTAAAATCATATTTGTTTGTAGTTCGATGATTCTACAAGTTGGATGCCCATTTATAGAGGATTTCCCACCGCTATGTCTGATTACCAGGCGGTAACGTTGGCAATCTTGCCACATGGGTGAACTTGGAATTTGATGAACCATATGTTATTCACAGGGAACAGTGCAGGAAACCATTCTCGAGTGCAAAGGGTTGAACTCCATTCCAGTGAGCACCATCATATGTGTAACAAGGATCGTATTTTTGGGTTACGAACCTAACCATGATAGACAACAACAACGACGACGACGACAACAACAACAACAACAACAAACAACAAGAACGACAACAACAACAACAACTACTACTACTACTACAACTACTACTACTACTACAACTACTACTACAGTACTACTAATCATCACTTTTTTGTTGCATCATCATAATTCTACCCCAAGCCCTTCTCCAACACCAACAGACTTTCGGTTTTTACATCGTCCGTCCCAAGGGCCCAAGATCTTGTTCTTAATATCCCCCAGAAACCATGGCTGCTAAATAGGCATGGCTGAAACAATTGGAACATGTCACATTTTTAATGGGTAAAAAGGATCGGCTTTCCCAATGTACATTGGGAAAAACTTCCCATTCCCGGTTCACCAATAAAGTATGATAATGTAGGATCAACCATGACTTCCCATTCCCTGGATTGAATCAACCAAAATCATTGTGGCTACTATGAATCATCCCCAATTTTTGTGTACCCACAGTAAAAATAAACCGCAACTATTGGAGACAGCTAGTTCTTGTGGAGAATTGAGAATTGAATGATTTCTGAGACCATCATCTTTTCAAGCCACGATGTCCCATGGTGGGCCACGGCATATCATTGATCATCTCATGAAGGGTTCCCAGAGGTTAGCAGTTGATGTCATTCCCCAACATCTACCCACGATTGTTCGCTAGGTATGGTTGGAACAATCGCAATAGAACTGCGGATCCCTCAGTGATATTGTTGGAAGATATTCAGAACACTAGTTGATTACAATAATGACAATAATAACAATAATAGGGAAATACTATAGCATACTATAAAATACTACAATTCTGGATCCCAACAGAATAAGGGAAGTTGGGATTGGGAGAGTTGGGGGGATATGAAATGTGCTTGGTGGTGTTAAACTCTTCTCGTAAATATATTTTCAAAAAATAAGGATCATCATCTCACCTTTATGGTCGAACATGTTTCTACAAATGAAGCCACCAACAAATGTTCGAACATTGGATTTCTCATGGTTTCATTGGATTTTCGGGGTTCATTTTTTTTGGTTGAACATTTTTTTTGGGGACTTACAAGTGACGTATCCTCCCCCGAAAATCCAATGAATGAAGCACCCAAGACAAGTTCTGAATGCGATCTCGAAGCGTCCAATTACTTTCTCTCTCTACAATCTCGCCTCCAAAAAAGATAACTGGTTGGTGGTTTTAACCATCTTGAAAAATATTAATTATTCAATGGGAATGATTCTCCCATATATTATGGAAAATAAAAACTGTTCCAAACCACCAACCAGATAAACAAAAAGATAAACACACACACACAAAAACTAGTGATATATTCTTAGGGGATAGATCCGGTTGATCAATCCGGTATTGATGAGTGATGAATTTCTATAGCGATCAGATCATTGATGAATTTCACCACATCACTATAATTGGTGACCCATAGTGATTACATATATATATATATATGTATATACCGTGATTTAATATCCATTTTACTGGTGATTAATCCTATTAAGTAGTGATTATTTTCTATGATTGCTAAGACATTAGTGATTGTTCCTCTTAATAGTAATGTGATTAAATAGTGATTAATAGTGATTAATTCTATTGAGTTGGTGACAAATTTCTATAATTTAGATTGATTTAGGGGATAACCATTTTCCCCAAGCCCAAACCCAAGCTCTCAACACCGAGTGGCACAAGACGAAGTCGACGGGACCCAACTCTTCCAAGGTTTTTACGCAGGCAGCGCCCTGCCGTGAGCCATGGATCGTCAGGTTGTTTTTTTGGTAAACAAAAATGGCGGGTGTCTGAGGACAAAAATGGTGGGTTTGTTGATTTGGATTTAAATCACCATAAAATGTTGTTTTCTAATTTCTGATTTCAATGGATTTCCAAGTTGATTAATCCATTTATTCAATCATCATTCTTATCAATGGACGAATGCAAAATACTAAGGCGGAAAAACATGCACAAAGACCAAGAGAAAAATTGAAGATCAAAACCACAAAGAAGGGGGATACATCATTAATTTTACACATGCAAAACAACGAAAAAAGCTGGGGGAGATCAAAACCAAGGCAGTGGTTCCAACGTTCCCATTCTCGCCATAGCGCCTTGTCGATGTCCTTCCGCTTCACCTCGACATAGCCTTTGCCCATAAAGACCTTCACCTTAGAAGCGCGAGCAAAGGCCATGGTGCTAGCGGACCTCGGAACACCATGATAGGTGATTAATACCTATATGGAGATTGGGTATGTTCAATAAGTTCAATATAGCACAATATAACACAATATATTCTCTGAAGATTGGTCAATTTCTGGGAAACATTAGGTAATAAGTTTTGGGAGATGAAGTGTTCAAACACCCCATTCGGTTTTCAATTGATTTCAATTCTAGTAGTGTTAAAACCCAGTCTTGTTGCTCCTATTCTAAATTCACCTTCCGTTTTCGGGAACACAATGAGTCAACATGACACATATACATTGCACAATTGATTCACATAGAATTACATTCAACATATACATAAATGACTGACAATTAATAAATGTACAGAAATGAGCTTGACATACATGTGCAACGGTTATCTATATATGCATCTAGCATTTCAACTAAAATGTATTATAGCAACCTCCAAAAACATGCCGAAACTTGCTTCGAGGATGGTAGTCCGATGATGTTTTCCCCATCTGTTACCACTTCCCGCACCTTGTTCTATCTACTTGGGGGTTGCTATGTGTATATATATATATATATCCCATTAGATACCACTAAGCGAAAGAAATTGGGAAGCAATCTTCCGAAGTTACGAACGAATAAGTGAAGTCTTGTGTTTCTGGTCGCTTGGAGCCATGATGTGCCATGTGGGGCCCACGGAGGCTGCCACCAACGATCCATGGAAAAGAATCGAGGTGCGGGTCGCTATTCTCATGAGATACATCATGATACTTCATTCATATCACCTCCCGTTCAATCCCATGATTTTCAAAATCTCACAGTTCTCATCTTCCCCACACAACTCAGCCATCAAACCCAATGATATTTTTTCATCGAAATCCTGTAGTTTCCAGATGTTTCCAGCATTTTCATCCCATCATATACTGGTTGGTGGTGGAATAACCATCTTGAAAAATATGAAAGTCAATGGCATTCAATGGGAAGGATTATCCCATATAATATGGAAAATAACAAATGTTTGAAACCACCAACCATTATAATTCACCTCCCATTCAATCCCATCATTTTCAGCATCAAAATCCCATAGTTTTTCTTTCCGCACCTCAGCCTGTCAGCCCCCACAACGACCCGACATTCGCCAAGGCCACGGGGTAGCCATGCAGCAGCCCCGTGGGCGACTCGGGATCTAGGAAGCGCATGAGTTCCAAGGCCACGTCGTCAATGACCCCGGCGGCACCCACCTGGACATCCCACGAGAAAATCAGCGGAGAATTGCCCGATTTCCCATGGGAAAATCAGTGGAGAACGATGGGAAATCCATGGGAAAACGATAGGAAATCATCCAAATCATTCGAGTTTGGGTGAGAACATCTATAAATGGTGGATTGAAGCATGGAAAATAGTGAGTTAACCCATGAAAAATGCTGGAGCATGGTGATGTAACCCATGGAGAATTGTGATTACCCTGGGGTAAACATACAAAAACGTGTGGAAACCCTGATAGTTTCACTAGGAAAATCAGATGTTTTCCAAATCTGTGTTGGTTTACAGGAGGGGAACTAGTAAATACAGGCTTAAAAAACAAAAATTAATCATGAGATATACTATAGTATGTGATAGTGGTGCATTGAAGCTGTTATATCTCTTGTGTTGGCTATAACTAGGACAACTTGAGGATAAGGGCATGTAAAAAATAGGGGAATAACTCTAAACATGGGCTACAAAGCGAACCATACCAGAGGACGGAGAAATCAACATTGCCATGGTGCAAAACGATAACACCAATGGTGAAAACAAGATGGGTATGTGCCAACTAAAAAAAAAACTTGAAATCAGAGGAACTTTGATTTCATCATTGGTTCATATTGGGGGTCAAATCGTATGGGGATCCATTACTGTCCATATTTTGTGTCATGATGATGGGTTTATTGACAATAAATGTCATTAGTGTTCATCGTTTGTCTAAAATGACACTAAACCCATAACTTGTTTGTCCCTTTTAGATCCTTTTAGTCTCATGATGATGCAAGGATCAAATTTTGCGTCTGTCGTTCCTTGACATCAAGGTTTAGTTGGCACTCACCAGTCAGAGATTCAGGCCCCTATTTGTCACAGGACATACATATATGTATGTATTAATATGGAATATACAAAATTAATTACAATAGAATAACACGTGTTCATCCCTGTTTTCTAAATTTCAACCGCTTAATGTGGGATTCACCCAATGCCATAAACCTCCTTTCCCCATTTCTGGTAAAATTGGGGATGGTTTGTGGGACTGGGTTTTACCACATTCGACCAATATTGTCCTTTTCGGAAAAATGTTGCGGGGCCGTTGTGGTACATTAGTTACCATCTACCAATAAAGCTGAATGTTCATAATTTTTCATGTGGGAACCAGAGAAAAACAAATGGAATATCTTCTGGAAAATCATGATGGCTGATGATCATGAAATATTTTCTACCGTGGAATCAGCCAACCAATGGGAACCATGGCCCCACAGAAATGGCTTCCGCGCCTCTCGGTAGTTCCAGGTGATAGCGCAGGCCTTCAGTGGAGATCATGGTGCGATGATTTCATGGAAAACATCGGTGTTTTTGTTAGCAAAAAAACGTGTATATTATATATATATATATATGTAATATCAAATAAATATGTATATATATATATGTATGTATGTATGTATGTAAGTGTAAAGAAATGTCCTTTGCACACCAGCACATGCAAAGCACCAACCTTTAGCCCTTTTTCCTTTCACTGTGGTTGGTGCAAGTTTGTCCTGGTTCCCTCAGGCTGGGACTAATGATCCTGTGTCTGCACATTCAAAAACTATCAACCATGTGTGTCAGGTCGAAATGTCCGCCATCCCCCTTTCAGGGCTGGCAGCACCTGGTCTGGGAGGTGAGGAGGGAACAGGACAACCCACCAAATTCGGTCAGGGATTTTAGGTGGGGCCTTGATCAATATCCAGACCCGACGTGAGTCTGGAAAACAAGGTGAAATCCTTAAAAATGCCACTCACATCGGTATAGAGCTCTGCCGAGAAGCAACCATAGAGCGGGTGTGTCAGATCATCCGCCCATTGGTTTAGTTCTCGAGGTACATGGCAAGGAGTCAAAGCGCAGCCAGCCGAATGAAGCAAAAGGACGAGTTCCATCAAAACGGCTGCAGTGCGGGGTTTCTTCGATGCTTGGTTTAGCAACGAGAACGCGTTGCTTTGGTTATCACTGCCAGCTGGGATCCTGACAGCAGAAGCAGTCTTACCTTGAAGTTTCAAGAGTGCCGAGCAATTCAAGGGCTGCAATTCTTTTCTTGGGGTTCCCAGCTTTGAAGGCCCAGCGAAACTGGGACTGGTGAATCTGGAAGTGAAACCAATATACTGAGTGTCTAACCGGGTCCTGAGAGTCTGACAGCCATCCACCAATATGCCTCCCCCAAGTCCGAAGCACCGGGCTGATTAGGATGATTAGGAGACCAAACGGCAGAAGCTGGAGACGGTCGAGGCAATGGTGGATATGAATATGGAGGTCTTGGCCCCCCTCCAGGAGGGCATGCACTCCGTGGCAGATAGTGAGGTCTACAGTAAAGGCGCCTTTACTGTAGACCTCACTATCTGCCACGGAGTGCATGCCCTCCTGGAGGGGGACCAAGATGTAGCCACCGGTGCCTGAGCAAGTTGCGTGGCGTCAATGGATTTGGAGTACTTTGAGGAGGCCTCTTTATTACTTTCGCGACCACCGGCGCCCTCCGCGGAGTCAGGTGATTGGACACAGGTGGGTTTTCCATCCAGCGGCACCAAGTTCCAGACCGTGCCATCCATCGTGTAGGAGGCTGAGGGAGCTTCGTAGGGGACCTTGGAGCCCTTTGGACAAAGAAAGGATGGAGTGGTCGATCCAGCCAGCCACCCGTGCAGACGCTGCACATCAACTCGTAAGGCTGCGTTCCCAGCGGCCTCCCCTTCAATGATGAAGAGCCTGGTCCAGCCTTGAAGCGTCCACGCAAGGACCCAGGGCCCAGACTGCCTCTTGGTTGCACTGTCCTGGCGAGCCACCGCCTCTGAGAGTGGAGGGTGCATAAATCGTGAGAAAAGATCCGCTAGCTCCGCCTCAGTGCAAGACTGGAGCATGTTCACGAAGAGTCTGGGATGCCCGGGAAGGACCCCGGGAAGACCACCAGCTTGCTGAAGGCGTCTGGAAAATAGCCGGCTGGAACGACGGACGCACAAAGCCTTGGTGCCGGACCCCTCCGCCTTCGGGGCCACCGGCACCTGTTCGGCTTCAGGGTAGCTAGAGCTCTCACCCGAAGCAAAGCCCAATCCTCCGTGCGGCGTCTCCGTCTCCTTTGGCGTCATGTCCACGTCCTCCGAGGGCTCCCCCTCTTTGGTCTCCATATCAATGTTTGGTTCATCCGTGTGACCTGAGAGGCCAGGTTCAGAGAGGCGCTTGATGGTTTCCTGCAGGTCAGTCATTTTGCCCTTGAGCTCTTCATTGAGCTCCTCGGTGGGCTTGTCGTGAAGCACCAAGAAGCCAGCTGCTTCATCACCCTCTTTGATCAGCGTTTCTGAGATCGCCTCCCACTCATGACAGGTGAAGAGGTGTTCAATTTGTTTGATTTGCGCAAAGCTTGGATACAGGGGGTGCTTGAGCCAAAATGTCCGGTGGATATTTTGGTTCAGCATTCCAAACATATGACTTGCAACCGCAAGCTAAATGCAAGAATCAAATGTCTGTGTTTTGCTTACCAACTAGATATGATTCCAATGATGGCTTGAGATCGCTTGAGTCATCAGGAAAAGACAAATGACAATTGGCCACACAATTGGTCCACATCCCTAGGCCCTACGGGTCCGGGGTCCAAAGCTATGATTTTCCCATCATATTTTTGGGTACCCCCCAAAACCGTTTCTTTTTCATCATGATAATCCCAAATCGAATTACATGTTTAGTCGGAATCATCATCATATCATCCTAGTTCCAATTCAAACTACATGTCTAGTTGGATTTGCTGGGATGTACCCTCTGCTGATTTAACATAGCTATGGAAGCCATGGCCCATAGAAACAGATGATTTTCCCAGCTATAAACCTCCATTTATTTCATGGATTTTCCAGTTCGCTATGTTAAATAACCAGATGGTACCCTCTGGTAAATTAACATAGATAGACCCTGAAAATACGCCAATTTTAGTGGAAACCAGTCTTCCAACCCCTATCTGCCAGGGTCCATGTTAATTTACCGGAGGGTAAGTTGGACAAAAGCCATGGTCCAAATCAGGCCTTGGCTTCGATGATGGAGCCCTGGATGCGTTTCACATACTGCTGGATCAGTTCCACCGCCAAATTCTGGCAACAAAACTTGGAACGGCGACATTTTTGGGCGGCTTAAAGGCCGGGGCTATATTGGCCATGTGGGTATTGTAGTTTGGGTGAAGTATGGGGATTTGTTTCGTAGTTCATATATGTTATTATATGTTCATATCATGTGATATCATTTGATATCTTTGGCATTTGTTGGGGGGCGGAGTCAACATAAACTTGAGATTGTTGTATCATTTCGATCCCAAAGTTGTTTTTTGGAAACCATGTTTACCCAGCAACCAAAAGCATCGGACTTCTGCCCAACTGTAAAGGGGACTCATCAAAGAGAAATTGATGTTGTTTATTCATATTCAATGTTTGTTTTCTTTCATCAGGGAACTGTTGTTTAATAAGCCATTTACCATGCTACTTCTCAGGACATGATACTTAGCAACTAACTGATTCTTATCTCATAAAAATGGTGAAAAATGGTGAAAGTCAAGTCATTTACTTCTCAAACCAAGGTTTCACCCGTGCTGTAAGAAACATCTCCAAAATTGGGGCGACAGGAGCGCGGTCCATGGGCTGTTGAAACTGTTTGATCTGTTCTTGCATCTGTTGGATCGGATTGATTGGTGGGTCACGGCCAGACGGTCAGGTGGCATGTGATACGAAGGAGGAAACAGAACATGTTCCATCATGTTCCATCAACTTCAGGACTCTGCATCGATCAACTCCATGTCAACTTTCAACATACTCCTGAAATTCTACAAGGTGTCAAGCAGGGTTTCCAACCTAGCGGCATGAATATGAGGGAAAAACATCACTTGAGATCGGCGCAAGAGTACTTCCTCCAAAAAATTGAATCCTTGAATGCTTTGCAGGTCCCTCTCTATCCAGACCCCATGTACCCCTCTTTATCGGCCAATTTCTGCCTTTGTCTTGTCTAAAATACCTATAGTCTTGCAGTTATAGTTTAACCATCTTTAAATCCCCAATGTTGGGTGGCGAAATCCATCTATATCACAAAAAATATTAAAATAACCATTTCAGATAATCAGATAATCCATCTAAATCACAAAACATAATCATTTCAGATCATATTTTAGACGATCTTAGGTGCCCTTGAAGTGTCCTTGAAATGGACGTCTGGGGCCGCCCCAGGCCCACCTTCCATTCCTGGTTGTCATCCGACATGCCCTCAGACCTGCGCTGTGGATTATGCATGGATACACTAATTGGTGGGATTGTCCTTGTATAATCTTGTATATCCCAAGTACTCTACCATCAAAATCCATTACGTACCAATGTTTCAATGAATATGTATGTTTGACTATGGATTTTCATAGTTTCCAATGTTAATCCATAGTTTCCATAGTGTCCATACCATTGGTTTAATTATGTTTAACTGTTCAGGGAAATTTGATGGAAACTATATGGATTTACCCATCAATTGGTTGTAAGGGCTTGGGCTGCAGATATTCATGATGTTCCGATGACACACACTCAACAGTGTGAACATGCTTGGGACTTTCGAGTGTAAAATACGCGTGATACATCCCAAACATGAGGCAACATGGAACCCTAAAATAGTCCAGAATCTACGAAAGAAATCATCTCCAACCGTTTCGGTTCAGCCATGTCTGGTCTTTTTAAGGCTACAGTATATGAGGTCATTCCGTGTTCGAGTTCATTTTCTAGAATTCTGATTTTGCTACTAGATTCTAGATGCTGTTTTACTCATGTGCTTGATGTGAACCAGCTTGATTCCAACAGGAGTCCAAGTTGGCAAGTGAACAGTGTTCAACAGCCACATCATTGAATCCTGATTGGATTTCATAGGGTTTGCCCTCATTAGGATCATCCCCTATATATATATAGCATAATATACCCTCTGGTAAACTAACAGAAATATGGAACGTCGCCATAGCTAATAGCTGGCTAAATCAATTTCTATGGCCATGGCTTCTTTGCAGCAAACTGTTAGCTTACCAGAATTTAACAAAGCTATTGAAGCCATGGCCATGGTTAAATAGTTGATTTTCTCATGAAAAAAATGGTGGATGTTTCCATAGTTTTATGATTCCATTTTCCGGATCATATCTTCGCTTTCTTGATGGGGTGTGCCTCCAAATTTGCTGCAAAAAATAATCCGCTCAATTTTGTGCCACCTTTACGTGAGTTCTTTTGATTGAGTGATGCTTGCATTCAAATTAAATGGCATTCGCCTACGCCGTCTTCGCCCAGTTTCTTAGCTTGGAGGTGGCTGCGTTGTTGGAGAAAAAAATAAACGTTTACCAGAGGGTAAACCTCCATTTTCCTATGGTTTTCCTATGGTTTTCCCGTTTTCCCATTTTCCCATGGTTTTCCCATGGTTTACCAGAGGGTATATCCCCATCGACCGCATCCACCACTCGCCTCCACGCTGCGTGCATGTCGCAGGCTAAGGTGCGCGGCGGCCAACGGTGAAAGCCGTGCTCCGCGCAAAGACCCAGGCCATCCACGCCGCTGAACCACTCCTGGACCGGCCGCAGAGGAAAAAACGTAGAACATGTAGAGAAAAAAACATGTGAACTATATAAAATATGGAAAACTATATGAACTATATGAAATAGTTTGAACTGTACAAATAGAACATATATGAACATATAGGAACTATTTAAGGAAAAATCATGGGAAACATCTATTTTTATCATGGTATTGGGAAAATCATGGGAAACTATGGTCAAAAAAATTAGGGACATCCTCAACTATTGGTCAAATTGGTGGTTTTCCAGCAAGATGTGAAGAAAAATATGGGATAAACATCACGGATTTTGAAGGAACAAACTGAACAAACCCGTTTAGTTTGATGATTTGCCTATGAAAACATATGATATTTCATGGCTATGTTGGTCTACCAATGATGAGTCGCATCCCGGCATCCCCTTCATAAAACACACACACCCACTCTATTGTCCGCAATATGTGATTTCATCCCCTACTTAGTAAATCCTGCTTTCTGGGGAATGTTTCAACGTGAACGTGGGAAGGGATTCAACCAATCAACGATATGGGGCTTTTGCTGGCAAGGAAATCTTGTTATATCTCCATTATTCTACTGGGTTAATGATTGAACCAGCCAGAACACATGCTATTAGCTATATAATAGGATCTTTAATCATTGTTAATTACAGAAACGGTTGGTAGTTTAACCCCATCATTGTTAAGACAAGGAGATCATGTCAACAATATTGTCATATAATCTTGATGGATTTATTTGGCCAATGGCTATCCAACAAAAAAGCGGAATTTAAACAACTATACAACTGAAATATAACAGGACATATAGCCAGCCAACAATATGCTGTACTTGGGTGCGCAATAAAATGGGGTTAGGGGTGTAGGTCGCCCCCGCCTTTCAAATAACAGGGATTTATGTAAATATATGTAATTATACATAAATATATATATAATAGAATGGGTGCGTATACATATAATTAGAATCTAATGGAATATTGTCACCTACAATATGATGATATGATGAGATATAATTGAGGATTTTGCAAACAACATAATATATATATATACTATCTGTAACAATGATATGGGGATAAATAAATATCATTAAATATCTGCCTCTAAATCATCTAATATATGGCCTATGAAAACCATAATGTGGATATTTACCGACAATGAGAAATGTATCGGGATATAATATCGATCCACACTTGCACACATCGTATATCTTTAACAAATAGAACCTCCACTGAACATTTTCTCTCCTTTTGAGGGTTCATATACTTAAACCAATATATAAGATATGTACTTTTTATAGTACCTTATAACTATACTTATTTATAGTTCCTATAAATATACTATATATATAATATAATATAGTGAAATTATATATATATATACACTACAATCTACATATATCTGGGTAAATTATAATATTTCACTAACCTGAATTAGGGCCATTTGGGGATGATTCCCCTTATTAACCATGATTTCCAGTGAGGTCGCAATGGGGTCGCCATAATTTACCCAGATATATATATATATAATATATATATATATTCCGCCCCAGAATTGAAATTCTTTGCATCTCCTGCATGACTTCCTTGGTGCGGCCGCTCAAGACCTGGTCGTCTTGTTCGGGCTCTTTGAAAGGCGTTTTTGGGCAGTGACCATTGGAGATTCACCAAGCAAAGATATTGGGAAAATAATGGTAAAATTTATGGAGAATTTATGGAGAAATTATGGAAACACTATGAAACATTACCAAACAACTACAGCAATTTCTGGAACAATTGGACAAGCATGGAAAACTCACCCACAAAAAGATGTTTAATGGGTCAATGATAGGAAAATACGGGGAAATCATAGGAACAAAAATAACAAAAACTATAAATGGAGGTTTGACTTTGATGGGGAAATTATTTATAAATTATTTATAAATGGTGGATCTTCCATTGAGTTATCTTTGATGTTCCACCTGAGGGTACGAGTACCGTTTTTTTGGGGAAGATTCAGATTCGGCCACTGACCATAGAGATGAAGCTCTCAAAAAACATGTGTGTCAACACACCGAATACAAAGAAGATCTGAATATATATATATATGTGTATATGTATATATATAGATATGTATATGTATATGTATATGTATACTATATATATATAGTGCCCTATCAATCAAGCGGGAAAAACCAGTTTCATGTAACATGGGCACCAGTACCGCAAATGACCTGACATTTCATGTATTTTGGACCGACAAACAATAAGCAGTTTGAGAAGAAGGAAGCAACAATGTCCTTTCGGCAAAAATATGGGAAAAGGGGCCGGTTTGGTATATTCATAATTAATAGGAATAAGAACTAACATATCTTGTTACACAGCTATGGGGAAGCACTAATGAAAACATAAAACCAAACATGTCGATGATGATGTTGAATGATTTGGAAAATCAAATTGATTCGCCCCAAAACCCCATTCCTTCCCCCGTGGTCTAGCGCACGACGACAGTGTTGCCCCGATCGTTCACCAGAGTCTGCAAGAGATCCAAGACGTGCCTCAGCGATCATCACATGTGGAAATCTTTGGACCATGTACCCGGAGCCTCCAAACCCTAAAAAACATGTTTATAGAGGGTAAAACAACACTTTTATGGCTACAAACGGAGAGTCTAGGTAGGGTTATGTCTTTTTCGATGTTTATTTTTCGGGATGTATAAAGCGAAAAACAAACATTTGATGGGAATGCTACCTGGTAACACAACCTTTCTATATGATTTTTGCGACATGGGACATCCACGGTATCAGTTTCATCTCAGTTCCACTTGGAGGCACATCTAATCATTCAGTCCAAGGGGATCCAGTCATGGACCCCCCCTTTCGGGGGCGATCTCCGAAATTTCGGGTTCCATGTTATAGCAAGTGGGTCAAAAAAGCCCCAGTTATAACTGGACTTTTTCCCCTACTGCATTCACTGGGGGTACCCTCAATTAAACGTGGTTTGCTTGAACATCCTCCGTTTATAGATGATTTTGACATGAAAAGCTCCATTTATATGGGATTTTCCATATGTTCGTATGGAGTTCCCGTATTTTCCCATATTTTGCACTAAGTAACAGACCTGCGCCCATTTCTTGCCGAGTCACGGATCTGGTGGAGTTCCTTCCTTCTGCAAGGACATCATGTTGCCGGACCTCAGGATGTCGACAACGATCCGATAAGAACGCATAATTGATAATCACGAAATGAGCAGTGTTCAAAATCCCTCTGTCATTCCATGAAATACTGGTAATAGGGATTCCCTGTTCTTGGATTATTATAACCCCAGTATATCAGGTAGTATAGTCCCCTAGAATCATCAACCAATCAGGGTTTTTCAACACAGATCAAATGGATAGATCATATCATTCTTAGATTTCTTATCGTCACATGTTGATTATCAAATATAACCAATCACCAAGTAGATATTCATTTTATGAAACATGTCATTGTCAGATTTACCCTCTGGCAATCAAACATGGTTTATTGCTGGAGAATCCCCCATGGTGAGGTCGCGACTGCATCTGCCACCCCGCTTTGGCTGCGATGGTGCCTGTGGAAAGGGGAAGGGCAGCAGCACAACTATCCAATTATAACCTCTACTGCGAGTGAGATCTCCCAAGGCATATTCAGTCGATAATTGACCTAATTTCGGTATTACTGCTTTCCCATTTGTAGATGATTTTCCCATACCCTATCTGTATTAATGTGCCAACATCCAAATCAATGATGACCCGCAGAAGCTACCGGGAATGGTAGCTTTATATCGGGATTCCATCGCTATATGGTTTTAATCCGTTGGCCGATGGGCGCCCAACACTTAAGACGGCTGCTAGGTTTCAACCCATCCACACACATACCAAACAATATTGAAGACCATATTCCAAGTAGGGATATGAAAATAACAATAATATATAGTTTAAACCACTAAGTGCTTTATGTATACATACATAAAACATCATAAAACACCATGTTCCGAAGCACCAGAGCATTATCCTTTTTTGGGACTTCCCAGCTGCAGTCGTCACCTTCATTGTCCAGGAAGATGGCGCGCTTCTTGGCGTTGCGATAGGCAGACACGACCTGTCAAGGTGGCACCGTGAATCTCATTGGTGGTTTCAACCTACCCCCATCTATAAATGGATGATATGGATGGTTTATAGTGGAAAATACCATTAAAATATGAATGATGACTAGGAAATACTGGTTGGTGGTTGAGCCCTACCCCTCTGAAAAATGATGGAGTGAAAGTCAGTTGGGATGATGAAATTATAGCAATATATGGAAAGTCATAAAATTCCATGGTTCCAGTCACCACCAACCAGAAGTATTCACTTGAAGTAGAGTAAGTATCAAGCACCGGCCTAAGAACACTTACTGTACCCCTCAGTGTGGACACACTGTTCGGGGATCATCTGGTTGGGCCCCACAATAAAACAATGGCTGCCATACGATTGAGGTGAAAATGATTGGACAATATCATGAATCATAATGACTACCCACTATGATACATATTTCAGACACATGTTGAGGAATTGACAATCGTTAACACTTAGCAACTATTATTAATTTTCTATTAGAACCACAATTAACTAAAATTGAGTATAATTAACTATACTTGACTATGCTTAACTATAAAAACACACCAAAAAAAAAAAACATCCTTTGGGACTTCCCTCTCCACCCACCTCTTCCTCCTGGATATGTGGCGGTCCTGATGGACCAATGTGGGAGAAAACGACAAATCCATGTTTGTATTGGAAAATCAGAAAATCTAAAATCATCCAAAAGGTGGTGACCCAGTTCGTTAGCTAAGTTGGTTGAGAAAACTCCCATTTCACTATGGTTGATGGCAGAGATATATATATATATACTCTGGTTGGTGGTTTTAACAATCTTGAAGAATATTAGTCAATGGGAAGGATTATCCCATATATTATGGAAAATAAAACATGTTTGAAACCACCAACCAGTATATATATATATATATATATTGACATACTTACTATAGTTTGTAAGCCAACTTATAACTGGGGGGGGGCACGGGCACCTGCAAGTCTGGAAATAGATGGCCCGAAACTCACTGTCTAACCATCCAAGCATCAACTTGCTTGGTTTCCTATGTGGATCCTTAAACTCTTAGAGGCCAGGAAATGTCCCAAACACGATCCGAACTAGAGACGATGAATCCTGTATTGGGATCAGATGTCCCACACAAAAAAAATCGGCCATCACTGGATTAGTAGGAAACATCTCAACCAACCTTGGGTGTTTCTTATCTTGTGAGCCAATCCATTGGTTCGAAGGTAAGAAGAGCAAGTTGGGTTTTTCAATCTTTCATCATTTTCTTGCTGGGGACTGGGATTATTCTGGACTGGGATTATTATTGATAGTTATTGTGGATCATTCCCTCATTCCCTGCTAAGCACCAGTAAGACTTAGAGGAAGTCACCACATGTCATGAAAAACGAAGGGCTCCTGCCATGGAAGTTCTGGCCGCGATCAAACTGCTGCTTTTCGTCACCTGCACGGCTTTCAAATCATCGTGTTGTCGGTGGATTGGTTTACGGGACAATTTACAGGAAACGACCCCCATATTTCATGGTAAAAACCATGGTTTCCGGTTAAGATTTCCCCTTAAACCCATCCAATGATGTGTTTTCTTGGGAAATTTAGCAGGTATGATTCAAGAATGGTTGATTTATCCACTGATTCATCATTCTGATCATTGGATGCAAGTAAGAGGTTCAATGCCGCCACGTCAGCATCTCCAAGTTTTTTCGTGATTTCTTTGGTCACCTGGAAATGGGATGATATTTTTTCCCCAAAACATGGGGAAAGTTCATGGGCTGGTTCATTGGGTATACCGCTCATATCCCATAGGATCCATGTATGGTATATATGGTAACATTTACCATCAATATACCCCCAATGTTAGCATATATACCATACATGGATCCTATGGGTATTGATAAACCACATTCGAATTTTGGATTCAAAATGGGGGCAAAGCTCAAAATCTGAGTCGGAAGTGAGTTCACCCACCACCTTTTAGGTGTGGACAGTCCACTGCGTCCAACCAAACACAAGAAAGCAACGAAGTAACATGTAGCATATCGGCATATCGCCAATTTTCATCCACACCACATTGAAATCCTGAAAGCCTACAGAATCATGCTTGGGCTTTGATCGTGATGCTGGTTGATCACCTCACCGATCAAGTGCTAAAAATAAATCACTATTTAAGGGTGTCTCTCAACTTTGGAGTACCCTAAACAAAGCCTTTCCCCATAAAACAACATCGGGTTGGTGGTATACCTACCCCTCTGAAACATATTTTTGTTCGTCAGTTGGGATTATGACATTCCATATGTGGTGGAAAACAAAAGCCATGTTCCAAACCACAAACCAGTTATATTCTCCCATTATTATAACCATTATCAACCAATATTAATCATGATTAACCAGGATTATCCCATATATGAAATGCAAAAATAAAAGCCATGTTCCAGTCACCACCAACCAGACATAGCCTTTGAATGATTTGGGGATCCCCCCATTTTCGGGTCCATTTTGAGCACCAACATGGCCTTCAACTCCGACAAGTTCTTGTGGACCCACCTGGGCCAAGTGAGTTGTGTTTACGCAATGGGACATGGAAATTGGTAGAGAATTTGCCCGTTTTTTCACCCTCTGGTAACCAACAGTTTGCTATTGAAAATGGCCATTGAAATAGTTGATTTACCCATGAAACATGGTGATTTTCCATAGTTATGTTATTTTACCAGAGGGTATCATCATATAACTAACCATTTTCATAGGGAAAACAAATGAACATGATGATTGACCCTTGGATTTTAAGGGCATTTTGGACAAAAAATGCCCCGTCCGTAGTAGAACTCAAGCTCAGGATGTCCCAACATCAGCGGAGTTCGTTCCGCAGCATTTCTGATTTTTGCATCTTGATCTGGACTGGTTGGTGGTTTCAACCATCTGATTCTGGCATTTGAACAATGTTTAATGGTTAAATCAACTATATCAACTATAATTCCATATCTGGTTGGTGGTTTCAACCATCTTGAAAAATATGAGTTCGTCAATGGGAAGGATGACATGCCATCTTTGAAATGGAAAATAAAACATGTTCGAAACCACCAACCAGTGGATATATCATCATTCCCAAACCTGATTCAGCAATCATTTCTTGGTCTCCCCATCTTGGGTCAAGGTTTATCGGACAATAAAAAGAGTAGCCTCAGGTCCACTGGGTAGCCACATCGTTTACCCCATTGAAATGGTGCGACGTCCATATACATCCCACGGTCACTAGATATCCTCCTTATATCCCTATCATATACGTAAATAAATTACTATATCCCACTGATCCTGAGGAGAATTTTGATAAATATCCCACTGGTTTTCTATATCCTATTTGTTTCATGCGTTTCTTCGTGTTGTTTTTTAATCGGTGCCCTTTGTCCTTGCTGTGCATTACAATTTGTGCGGATTGTGAGGGTCAAGATGCTGCACCAGGGTCTGCGAAGAGACGTAGGAATGATCCTGGCCGCCGATAAGTGGATGGTTTGTGGCTTATTTTTTGGGGGGTGTTGTATGTATACACATTGTTGAGTGCTCTAGGTTCAGACACACCCATGAAAACAACTAAACGATTGGGATTGAAGAATGTAGATCAACATACAATATCAAACCGGTATGAAACATATATTCAAAACAGGGATTATTCTTATATGTTCATGTTTTCTTTGATCTTAGATAAACCAGTGACATGAGAATACATGGGAAAAATGGGGATGCCAAACAACCATATTGCTACTGCTACCCTTGGACACACCTGCAGCAGTTAGTTTTGAGTGGAATATGAAATATTCCTTCTGAACAATGACAACACATCACGAGTACACCATGGTTCACCACATCACGCTAGCAAACACACCACGAAACAATCGATCCATGCGAGTTCCCAAACTCAGTCGTCTGCAAACATCACATCTGTCGAAAGGCGGGTTTTTCACATCTGTTGAAACACCATTTGAAGGGTGATGTCAACATTCCAAATGGGGTTTCCATAAATCTGGGTAAAATATAACGACCGCACTGTTCTCCCTCACTGGAATCATGGTTAATAAGGGAAATCATCCCCAAATGGCCGAACTATTCAGGTTAGTGAAATATTATAATTTACCCAGATAAATGGAGGCACCCCAAAATGGACAGTATATCATGGAACATCCATTTATAACTAGGGCTACCCCCATGACCTAGGAAACCCCCATGACTTGGAGCTGTTCTTCTTTTTGATCCCCAGATTCATGGAGCTCTTGCCACTTGTGGGTGACATCACTGAAGAGTGTCGAGCAAATTCCTAAGGATATACCGACCCCAAAAAACTGGATAAAAACTACCATCTATTTAACATAGCTATGGAAAATGGTCCATCTATGGATGGGCCATGTTAAATAACCAGAAGGTATATCATTCAACAATGTCACCACAACAATGTCACCACTACAAACGTGTTTGAGTATGACCTATCCAGAAAGAGAGAATCTCTAAGGAACCTCTAAGAGATATCGATTCCTGCAGATCTATTGTCTCATATCATAGCCACCCAAACCTTTTTTCCAGCCGAAAAGACTTGACCCCATACAGTATGGGGAGTTCCATCCATGCGTTGGGTACACCTAAATCCACTGTTGACATGGCCATACTTGAGAAACTATTAAAACATTTTTCACACACGCACACACCCACATCATAAATTAAATTGTGCATATAAGCAATATCATGTAATATATGCAAGCACTAAATCATATCAAATATATCAATTTGACGTGCAATTCATCCATAATAAGCAACATACATTCATAAATAAGGACATATCGTGACATATCAGCAAAATATAGTTAGATACTTCATTATAATGATATGTATGTATATAACCCAAAAACAAATTCAATAAATCACTTAAACCACCATAGTTAATGGCCATACATAGTTAATGGCCATACTGTTACATTGTTCATTGAATATTGGGAGTTCACATTAAATATCCATATTGATTATGGCCATTAAAAGTACATAGTATGGGCAACACATTTATATTGTATCATATTGTATCCATGTAAACCAGTATTGTTGTCTTTAAACATGGTCGGAACTATCCCATGATAATGATATGATATATAATAATGCTACAGTGATAATAATAACAAACACAACATAAATTATATATATACATATAATCATGGATACCTGTGAATTATTCCAAAAAATCCAATACATATATAAACTAAAAAACAACATGCCATTATCCTAATCCTCATATACCAATGTCTTGTTCCCAAAACATGTCAATATCCCAAGAATTTTCCATTTTGAGGTGCAGGACATCCATCGTTTTCCGTTGAAACCACGCCTTCAAGAAACGTTCTGCCTGGTCTTCCTTTGTGATACTAATGGCCTCGTCAAGAGCCGTCAAGACCTGAGACAACGTGATGGTGGAAACCCAGGGGTTTCCCCCATAGGGAAACCTGGAAAAAACATGTTCGAAGATTCAATTATAACTGGTTAGTGGTATACCTACCCCTCTAAAAAATATGAGTCAGTTGGGATGATTTGTTTCCCAAGATGATGGGAAAGTCATAAAATTCCATGGTTCCAAACCACCAACCAGTTATAATTTTTGAGGCTGAGAGTTTCAAAAGACTCGACGTTCGGGACGACCTGCTCAGAGCGACCTTCCGTGGATCCCCCGTTCTTTTCAGGTGGAACACCGGAACACGCATTTGGACAATGGCATTCCTGATTGGAATTCGGGCTGAGTGATTGTTTTCATCTTTACGATTGAAAGGTACCAGTCTTGCAATCTTAGCTACAGGTCTGTTGAAATCCCTTGATGTATGGTGGGACATGAAATATTCTTGTAAGACAATGGCGAAAGGAGTCCTGTAAATCAGCAGCCCTTCCATTCGCTAGTAGATACCCACTTATATTACATGATACGAGTATTGGTTAATTTTAATATTGACTAATATATTGCTGATATCATTTCATGGTAATCACCCTCTGGTTATTCAACGGGTGCTATGGAAAAATACCATGATTGGGTTCGCTAAATTCCTCTATTTCGATGGGCCATCTGTACCATAACAAGCTGTTAAATAATCAGAGGTAACATCATCCTGTATAATCAAATATAATCAATAATACAATCATCATGGTATAATAATGATCCAGAAAAACAATAATGATATCCAAGGTGAACAATAACATAAATAACATAGATGCGGAAAACCGTGGTTTTCCTTGGCAAATGATCTACAAATGGTGTTTTCTTTTCCACATCTATGTTAGTTTGCCCTAGGGAAATTATAGTTGTTAACTCTCCGTGTTGGAGCATCAAGGCGCTCCACCAGTGTTCCATGGGTTGATCTTGAATGCACCTGCGGCGATGCAACGGGGGTGGCCAGGTGGTGTGGGTTTGCGAAACGTTGGGTGACATAACATCAACAACTATAAAATGCTATAGATAGCTAAATTTCTAGTATACATGCTATTGTTTATATGCTTCATATGATTCATTCATATGGTATATATGGTTTATCAAAAGCTTCCGCATTACGGACGAGTGTCCAGGAGCAGTCTTGTCATCACGCGATTGCAAGTCCTCATCGAAGTGCGCAAGAGCAGTTCGCATGTGGCAGCAGTACAGAAGAGTAAGAGTTGGGAAACGTGTGAGATCACGGGTGAAAGCGCTCTCCGGGACAAAACCTTCTGTTTCCGCGGGTGCGAGCCTCGAGCTGGGAAAGTTGTAGCGAGAGCTCGACGATTGGGACTTCAAAATGTAAAAAACTGGCGGTCTAGGAGCACTTTTGGACGATCAGGTCGGCAAAATGTGCACGAGACTGGACATAAAGTCGTTAAAGACGCAATTCTCGGAGTAGCGCGGAATCGTTCCCATTGTCAGCGCTGTGCGAACGTTGCTCGATTTGTAACGCTCCTGCATGCAGGTTTGCAACCGACTGTGACAAAACGCATTGGCACGGCTGCGCGCAGCAAAGCGTTCAGTGCTGCTGTGATGCTCCTGGCAAGCGCGATTGCGGCTGCATGGAGGTTGCTAAACGCATTGGAACAGCTGCGCGTCGAGAAGAATTGGGTTCAGAAGCTACAAAAGAGCTAGCTGGGAGGCAGCTCAGAGCAGAAGTAGCCCAGATAAGTGGCTGCTCGATCAGGGAAGAAGTAGCTGAGAGAAGAGGTGCCTCAGCGAAGAGGTCGCTCACTGAAGAAGTAGCTCAACAAAGAAAAGCACCCATCCATTCATTCATCCATCCGTCCCTCCATTCATTGGTTCATTGATTCATCGACTCACCAGTTCACCCGCGCATTGGTTCATTGTTTCATTGGTTCACTGAATCACCGGTTCAGTGAGTCATTGATTCACTAAATCACGGTTTCATTGCTGCATTGGTTCACTACTTCATTGATTCACTGAATGATTGCTGATTCATTGGTTCACCTACTCACTACTTCATTTATCATTGATTTGAATCACCGGCTCACGAAATCATTTGTGAATCGGTTCACGGGTTCATTGTTTCACTGAATCATCGATTCATTGATTCCGTGATCCATCTCTAGGAACAGATTAGACAATTTTCTGCCTATAATAGTTAATTCCTTAGCTATATATAGTCAAAATCCTGACTGTTTTTCATTTTTTTTGCAAGACTATGAGGTTAGTTATTTTGTTGTACTTGCCTCAACGAAAAATTAAGAAGTGCCTGGTTTTGAGGAATCCGTTTTTGGTAACCATGGCAACTTAAGCCACTCAGCACTCAGTCGGCAATCTCTCCATGACGAAATTTCAATGCCACCTGAGCAGCGACACAAAGCACATGGCTTCTGCATCTCAAAAATGTTCCTATAGGCCATTGATTTCTTATAATAGTTTTCTCCTATTTTGGAAACTTCAACCCTATAGCACGTGCCGGGCACTACACTATCTGGTATGGTGTATTTGTAACTAGCTTATCTATGGTTTATATGGTTTCTGGTGATCTTTTTCTTCTTAGATCGGATTGAAAAGACAATAACAATAACTGCTGAATCAGCACCACCTTGTAGTAGTTGCCCAACCCAATGTTTGCAAAGTACCCTCTGGTAAACTAACATAGCTATGGAAAATCACAATTTTTAATGGGAAAATCAACTATAAATGGCCATTTTCAATAGCTATGTTAAATTACCGGAGGGTATTCACCACATGTTTCATTCATCGAGGGTGTCCTGCAAAACCAAAAAAGTGTTCATCCCGGTGCTTGGTCATCTGTTGCAAACTCGTACCTTCGGAGACCCATTCCGATGATCCAAAAAAAACCATCCCACTATATACGTCGTCCCAGGATATCCCAGAAAAAATCCCAGTGTATCATTACTATCCCAAGCACATCTATATAGTTTACCCTCTGGTAAACGTTTACATAACTATGGAACATCACCATTTTCTAGCTGGGACAAGCCATTATACATGGGCCATGTTCAATCGCTTTTTGTATGTTTACCAGGCCGGGTATACCACGCCTGTGAGAACAGAGGAACAGCCACAGAACTCGCTGATCAAGGCCACGCCCTGGTGGTCCTGCGTTCGCAGAGCAGCGGATGAAGCCATGGTTGTGGTAACTATAGATGAAGCTACAATGTGAGGCCCCCCAGTTATAAGTTGGTTTATAAGCCCCAGTAACTATAGTTATAAGTACCATAAACCACAGTTATTGGAGTTATAAACCAACTTAGATATCTTGGAAGCCTCACATTGTAACTATAGTTTAATGATGGTAAATGGTAATGGCTAATTATAGATTAAACAAATGGCTAAATATAGATAGTTTGTAAATGGTAATATATGGTAAATGATGGCTAATATATGGTTTTAATGATGGTAAATGGTAGTGGCTAAGTATAGATAGTAAGCTATAACAACTATATGGTTCTGGTAATGGCTAAACTACAGATGGTGAAATGATGATGCTGGTTAAATCACTATAGATGGTAATCAACAGATGAAGCGCTGAGCAGCTAACTATAGATGGTAATAGTATGTAATGGTCCATGGCTGTAATTGATGTTAATGATGGTAAATGATGGTCATAATTAGTGGTGAATGATTACTAGTGTGGGAAAAACCATGTCATAAACGTCATAAACCACCCATGGCTGGGAATGGATCAAACACCAACCATCATAGTATTGTAATAATAATAATAATATTATTAATAATAATAATGATCATAATCAAAATAATAATATTAATGTGGATGGAAGAAGAAATCCAGAAACCACCTTGGATGGTTGAAACATCTTGAAACATCTTGAAACCCTATGGCATTCATGGTTAAAGTGACATGGATAAACCACTCCCTATGGGATTAGTGGATATTCATGCGATAAACGGATGCTTACCATCCACAGAATAGTTTCTGGGGATATATCTCCACAAAGCCCTGAAATTAAGGCAATTTAATGTATATATATATGGTAGGTACCCAACACCCCAGATAGAGTGGAGAGAAACTAGATAGATAAAAAGGTAAAATGACTAGTTTCCCCCCGTGTGGCTATCATTTTACTGTAATGGTTGATCCATGGGTGAAATTGTTGGGGGTTATACTAACTGGCTTATTGATGCTTATTTGGTGATTATGACCTAGCCCATTGTGGGCATATCTACTGACAAACCAGTATCATGGGATGGATAGGGGTAGTTTTCATGGCTCAGATGGCTTTGGTACCAAAAACCATGGCAAAAACATGGCATGGGACACCTCCATAAAACATCCAAAGGTGAATCATCCATATTTGTTGGGTTTTTTCAGAAATAAATCTCATCGACAAACCCAAACCCGGGCCAGTTGAGAAGTGAAAAATGGATGCGCCTGTGAATGCGCTGCATAAAAGTTGAAGGGGATCAGATTGAGGCCATCATTGGTGGAGGTATCCAGCAAGATGTCGGTCGCCTCAGCCATGGCTCACCATGGGTCATGGGTCTGTCGCGAGGCGGCCATCTGCTGATTCAAAGGTTAGATGCTGGAAAATTCCAAAAAATCTGCCAGCAAACATTGGGGTTCATGGGATTTTCCATGTGAAGAAATGCAGCTGGGTATGAAACTATATGAATATAGACGTAGCTGGCTGGTGGAACCAACATTGAAACCACCATTCAAATTCACATGTAGAGGAGTTGATGAGCGGAAAACGTTCATGGAATGAGCATATCTACTGCAGCAACAAACATAGGCGGCGGTGTTTTGAATTGCAAACCGCTTCGCTTCAGAAGCTGCTTGGCCAAGCCCAGATCTTAAGATTGAACCCTTGTTCACTCCCTTTTCACAGGAAATCATATACCCTCTGGTGAACTAACATAGCTATTGAAAATGGCTATTTATAGTGGATTTTCCCATTAAGAATGGGTGGATCTTTCCATTGCTATGTAAACGTTCACCAGAGGGTAACACTTGAGCCATTCCCCTTCCCAAATTCGCAGCAAGGCCGTGGCATGTCGCCAGTTTTCCCAAGGATTCCGTGCTGCCGAAAGGCCAACAGAACTCCCAGTTGTTTCTCACGACTCGTCTCCTAAAGAGGGTTACGGTTGCTGGTGCCTCATGGTTAGCTGCGTTTTGTAACTAGCTTGACTTAGATTGATGATGATTTATGCTCATGGTAACATCGAATCTAAGTGCTGTATAGTTTTTGGGTTTTCAGATGAGGTCGTTTTAAACCAACTCATAACTGGGGGGCGCCATCTTGTAGGGATTCCTTATCGTGGGTATATTGAAAGGATCAATGACCATCACCATCATTCAAGCAACGTTTAGATGGGTTAAATAACCATCAAAAGTCAACCAGATAGGGTCTTTCATACCTAGTTTACATATATCACCCCTATTTTTGTGGTTGATGACTGGGATGAATCATACCCAATAATGGTTATAAACGGTTTATATGGTTGATCAATGGCTGATTTATGTTTGTTTTTCTTGTTTTTATTTTCGGGTTGACAGTCGGGGGGGGTTCCTAAAATGGATGAACCCCCCAACATCTAATCCGAACCAAATTTCTCATGTTGCCGATGTGGACAATGATCTTCTTGGGGTAGCCTATCTGGTTGGTGGTATACCTACCCCTCTGAAAAAAATATGAAAATTGAAAGTCAGTTGGGATTATTATTCCCAATATATGGACAAATAAAACATGTTCCAAATCACCAACCAGTGCCAACCAGCTATATATTTTTTTGGGTATCCTAGAAACATTCAATATCAGCATATGTGCCATGATCAGAACATGGTATCTTTGCCATGATGAGTGCACCCTGAAAAGGGGGGGATGACTATCCACTTTTCTGGAAAAGTAACCAATGATAAGCAATGTTTTGACCATGGCACATATGACTCAATGGCTAGTGGCTAGTCTTTGGATGTGAACATTTCGGTGGATAAAGGGGTTTTTTCAACCACCGCAATTTACAATCTGTTGAAACATCTTGAGACTGGTGAATGGAACTTGTTCATCTTGTCATAGATAGAGACTCCGCATGATGCCATGAAGATATGGGTCTGACCCAAGGATTTGGGCAGTAACAGTTACATTCAGAGTGGACCCAACAAAACCAGCTTTTGAATAGGCCAATGTAAATGGCCATTGAAATAGTGGATATATCCATGAAATAAAAAGTGATTTTCCATAGTTATGTAAACGTTTACCAGAGGGTATCCAAGACTTGAACTTGACCCAACAATTACCAGATCTTTTGTCAGTTCAGCATCTGAAATTCTTGGTCCCAATGCCCCATTTAACTTGCATTTGACATCGGATGACACCGGCCACTCCTCGACCACAATCTTCACAACAGGTCCTTCCCCCGGGACGGCGAAGTGCTTGTTGGTTTCATCCTCAAGCCGTTGCCATTATTGGTGACGGCTTTCGCACAAACACCTGCGATAAAAAAAGTGATGGCTGTGAAGTATGGGTTTGAAGAAATAGCTGTGAAGTATTGAAACTAAGGTCATACTTAAAATGACCATTTAGCAAGGGCTGGCTGGTGTTGCATGGAAAAGAAGAGTGAAACTGCAAATCCTCCTGTCGCCTAGCCGCCTGTCCTTGGGTACACCTACTGGGGCCGTTGTGAAAACTCAGGCTGGACCACCCAAATTCATCGTTTCAAACCAAGGCTGGACGGTTTGTTTTTGGGGATGTTTTGATATGTGTTGACAGTACATTATGTATATATAAAAGTATAAATATATATGTATATATACAGTAATATACATTTATTTCTAGATGCTTTTAGTAGCTTGAGACCATACACCAGAAACACAGATTCTGCTAGTTAGTCACTGCCACAGCTGTAGTCACCCCTTGGCGCAGAGTGACAGCCATTCGTTGTAGCTCTTCAAGGGCAACCTCGGCCGCAAATCGAGTGAGCCATGCGATTTCGGGAGGGGAATGCCTGGTCAACATCCAGCATTTCAGATGTGGCAGGGTCAAGTTGCATGGGAAAGGTTAGTATTAATGTCATTAAGACACTAATGTTAAACAATACATATCTGGTTGGTGGTTTGGAACATTGGCATTTTTTTCATATTTTTTCCATATAGTTATTGGGAATAGTCATCATCCCAACTGACTTTCACTCCATCATTTTTCAGAGGGCTAGGTATACCACCAACCAGATATGTTAAACGTATGTTAAACGGCATCTAAATGGTGGGATGATTGGACAATCCTCCAAGCTTAAAAACCATGGCATCATGATCATCTTTGGGGGCTTCGAGCAGCAGCATACACCATGGTTCACCATGCAGAAATTCCACGCCGAAATCTAAGGGGTTCTGATACCCTCCGGTAGTCACATGCATTCATTTGACATATGCTGAATATATGTTGAATATGTTGGCGCATGAGAAAATTCGTCACAACCTTGGTCACAACCTTAGTCGCCTGATTCTGGGATTGTTGTCGCATGTTGCCATGTTCGTCACGCTGGGATGTTCGTCAGTTGCCAACCCAACTTTGGGCCTATTTGGTAAGGACCCATGGCCCCCATGGCCCCCATGGCCACGAACAGCCCTAGCCATGGGGTGAATCCCCAACCCGCTTAGTTGTTACATCACTACATGCTTGGTGGTTGACCTACCCCTCTGAAAAATGATGGAGTTCGTCCATGGGGTTGGGATGACATTTTCCATCTTTGAAATGGACAATTTTTAAAAAACATGTTTGAAACCATAAAAACCAGCTAAACATGGAGAATCCATGTTAATCCCCAACCAGCTGAGTAGTTACATCACATCAACAGTGAGGCCACTGGATCACTGGCCACCAAGATGCCATGCCGCGGCGCTTCGAATCCGTGAAGCGTGACCGGATGTACTGCACCAGCACCACCTTGCGCCTTCCAACGCGGCCCTCATGGGGTGCCGGAGGTGTGTCTCAAGTGGAACCGAAACATGGCATGGCACCATTTTTTCCCATCACCCGAATTTTTTCTAACACCACAAAATGATCAAAAATGCATGGTGCCAACCAAAATCTGGAAATTCCCAAGCAAAACAACCATGGTTTCGTTTAGGAGGGTGTTGAATATGGGGGGAAGGGATTAGTTGGTAGAATCCCACTGCGCGGGATGAGCCTTGGGATGGATTTGGAGAAACTGGGAAGACCCCATCATCCAATTCTATGAAGAATCCAACTACGTGTCCGGTTGCAAGATTTTCCCAAGAAAACCAATCCATTGGTCAAACCGCAGCCTGTGGGAGCGATACTCCAACAGAAAGCGGTGGAAAATCGCGAACTTCAGCTGTAGGCCACCTGGTTTCAGGGCTGAATCATGGAAAGGATCATCAAACTTTTCTCTGGTGACTAAACTGCCGTCCTTCCAAGGTATGAAAGTCAAGGTCACCATGGTCGCATTTGTGAATGGAACATGTAGACTAAATTGAAACCAACAGCTCTGGGTAGAACTGATCCGTCCCTTCAGACATGTGCACTATCAATGGGACTATTACTGTAAGGACATTAACGGATGCTCCATCTGTTTATCCCGTTGAACATGCAGCTGGGGAATCCTCCAATGCAGTGACCAAGGAACTGAAACAGTCGAAACGGTCATAGGAACCTTGCGGGGAGACGCAACGGCTGGGGCAAACTGATGCTGACCCAGGTGATAAGCTATCCGTCCATGTATAAACAATACATATTATTTTTTTGGTATGTAATAATGTTAAATAATGTATGTTGTGTAAATATATACAACAATGTATATACTTAATATGTACATATATATATACACGTATTGTACGATATAACAAAGTGATGATCCACTACTGATGCCACTACTGTTATGTACATTTACTTTACTTCGAATGATCCCCAGCCTGACCTATTGTTTTGATATTCTATCCAGAGGAGGAGAAGGTGGCCGAGGACAAAGGAGGAATTGTACCTTTGTGAAAATCTAGAGACCCTCACCTGGCAGGTGGGGAATAACAATAACAATATAATATCAATAATAATAATAATGTTAATTATATATATATTTGTATACATAACACTATATGTACATATATGTATATGTATATTAATATATGTACATAATATGTGTATATACATTCTATATATATATATATACATACATACGCAATATAAACTCTTCGCCTGTCAATTCATCGTGTCAACATTTTGACCTTGATGAGTTGACATGTCCATCTCCGGGCTTGTCCCAGCTTTGTTTCCCTCCATTGTAGTTCAACAATGAACGTCTAATGAGTCTAATGTTCCATTAGAGCAGGTGTTCAAATTGAAACCATCTCCTTTTTTCCAGATTTTTTCCCATCAACATGTCTGCCTCAGAATAATCCTGCTAGAGACGAGGCCAAGTTCTCGGGCCACACAGCTCTTGCACATCAGCTTTCCGACTATAGCTCAGCCAATGTCCACTATCCCTGGATGGTATTTTGGGGTATCCTATTTTTTTTGGTACATATCCCTGCGTCCCACAACAGTGTTGGATAAATCCCAAGGTTTGCCGATCTAGTTGCAGCAGTTCATTTGCTTAAATTCACCAGTCTTTGGTGAAAATCAGGACTTGCCACATCCCATCCCCCTTTTCCCCCCTTTTCCCCCACCTATAATAGTTTTCCCCTTGAACTCGTTCCGAATGGATGCGGCCCGATCAATGACCTGCAGAGGTCCATTTCGATCACGGAAATATCATGCATGGAGGATCATTCCCACTTAGAAACTGGTTAGTTAGTAGTTGGGGTGAGAAAACCTACTTATTAATATGGGATAACCCCAGTTAGGGGACTCATTAGCTACAAGGTAATTATAGTAATTATATCGTCTTCCATTATAAGCATATAAATGTATATATATATATAGATACATCCATCTGACTCGTTTTATCTACAATGAACCCCAAAGTTTTCACCTGGAAAACCCGTTCCGAACCCTTTTCGGGGACCACCCGACAATTTTTGTTTCCCGAAATTGTCCCAATGGAAAGCTTGAGGCACCGACTGCATATAAGAATCACTTGGAAATCATAGAAAATATGTAGGAATCACTTCAAAAAAAATGGAAAATTATCTGAGACTCTAAGACTAGCCAGCTGCTTGTGATCGTACCCTAGAAACCCTCTTTGAAGCAGAGATGGACAAGAGTTGGGCCGATAATCTTCCGATCTTTTCATCAAACCACTCAATTTACTCGACTTTGTCTTCAAGATTCAAGCTCCCGAACATTTCTTGCTTTCACCTGTCTTTAACATTGTTCAACTCCCGTTTTTTCCATGTTTTCCACTCCGCATCTCTCCGCCTTCTCGTCGGAGAGTTTGCGAATGAGGTGGTTGTAGGGGATCGCGAAGTGATCTGCGAAAACCACCACGCTGCGACCTTCATGCTCCACCTGCGGCGGAATTGCCCACCTTCAGTTGATGGCGGCTGGTCAATGTATATAGTGTACGTATGTGTACGTTATATGATTGGTGGATGTGAATTAATCCATTAGCCAATCATGAGCTAATAAACAGATCAATAAATAACTAAATATATGTATATATCCCTATGGATCCCAGTCGTACCTTTTTAGGAAGTGGGACTGGGGTATGATTTGGAGGGTGATTTGTACCTTCTCAGACAGTGGCCATGGATCCATAGGTTATAATATGATAATATCATATTGACATATTTCTTGGACCATCTGGTTATTTAACATAGCCATGGAAAATCAACATTTTTAATAGGGAAACCGTCTATAAATGGGCAATTTTCCATGGCTATGTTAAATAACCAGAGGGTACAACCCAGTAACTAATCCAGCTATATTCGTCTCTGCGATTTTCTTAGATGGTCAGCTCCAGTAGCTACTTCAGCCAGCAGAGACACCTCTCATTTTCAAATGGTCGACACACATTGTGCAGAAGCCGGCTCCGAAAAAATGTGGCTCCAAATAATTTTCATAAGTACCATCTGGATACCATCTGGATACCATCTGGATACCATCTGGATACCATCTGGATACCATCTGGGTACCACCTGGGTACCATCTGGTCATGTTTGAATTATATAGACATAAATACCTATGGAACATGGCCATGGCCATGGCTGCTTTGCTTATTCAGAATGGTGATTTTCCATAGCATTCCATAGCTATGACAGATTAAATAATCAAATCTTGGGTACGTTATAATATATATATATAGCATACTCCATCTTAGGCTGTCGTCTCCATATCTAACCACAAAGTTACGCTGCTGACGCCCTTTGGATCGTCTTCCCATCTTGATTGTCTTCATTGCTCAAATCCACATCTAAATTCCCCTTGGTAAATCTCCATACATCTAAAACTGATTACAACATCATATAACAATATATAACATCAAACATACATATATATATATTTATTATATTATATATATATATTATATAAATATACATATATCATTATATATATATATATCATAGTCATCTGTTCATGTAAAAGAACATCAAATGAGATCGCTCATCAGCTCGGCACCTGCAGGATGCCGCCCTTCTGAAAGCTATGGCGACATCCGAGCAGCTCAGCGCAGCAGGACATGAAGTGCCTGCCGTCTTAGGTCAGTTATGCGTTCGTCGTTCAACGGCTAGCACGCATAACCTTCGGCTGAAACCTGATCGAAACTATGGCATACCATAACTATAACTAAAAGAGGGTTTCCATAAATCGGGAATCCCCAAAATGGTTTGTTTGTTTATCTCATGGAAAATCCGTATTTAAATGGATGATTGAGGCGTATCCCCATTTCGGGAAACCTCCATATGGACCGGTTAGAAAACAACATGTAGCTAGGTCTACTACTTTGTAGTGAACATCCATCACATATCATCACATCTATTTTTTGCTGCAGCTGCAACCCTGCACTTGCAGGGTAAATCTTGCTTGAGTGAGTTTAATTCGTTACTTCTTTGCCATACAATCCAAGACTACAGGGTGGTACAGTACCTCCTAGCTATAAGCTATTTTCTAATTTATAAGTCCATGTAGCTAAGTTGCAATCACCATAAACTCCCGTGGGAACGTGTGCGCAATAAGGTCTGGAGATTTACCACAGCCAAAGGTATGGCTGTATCGATGTCTGGCGAGGTCGTAACTGACTCAGAAATGGCTTTCAAACTCAAGAGATTAGTGGGTAAGGGTTAAAGTTCCGGAGAATACCAAAATGGATGATTTCAGATAGATTAAAACATGATACCCATATTCTTGGCTTTGTTAAAATTATCAGACTATGAAAGTTCCAGATAATGCGTTCGCAAGCTTTCTGTCATGAAAGTAACTCCCACATCTAAAGCCAAAGCTGACACCATCACACCCAAAAAAAACGCCGTGAATGGCATGCTACCTCGAGAGATATGACAACAACATCTAGCAGTGCCAAGAAAAAAAACGAGGAAAACCATAGCCATGGGAACTGGTTGGTGGCGCAATAACCATCTTGAAAAATATGAACGTCAATGGGAAGGATTATCTCATATATGATGGAAAATAAAAAATGTTTGAAACCACCAACCAGGTAATCAGATTCTATGATTTTTTTCCAACTAGAAGCCTTCATTTAGTTCGGGGATTTTCCAGCTTGGCTTAGCCATGCGTGATGACATCGTTGCGGGTATACATCAATAAAGTATCCCATTCACCACTATTAACCCATTGTTAACCCAAGATTAACTACTAATTACCCCATTCTTTTCCCATTAACCACTATTTACTCATTGTTAGCCTAATATCAGCTACTATTATCCAATGATCAACCCCATATTAATATTTTTTAACCATTAATGAATCATCAATGAATCACCATCCGACAGCTGCCTCAGGTAGTCAAAGGTTTGAAAGGTCACCAGCCTCCGTTGTCGAGTCAGTGCTCTGATGACTAACACTTTGCAAAGCGGCTTTGCGATGGCCCATTTAGATAATCTACCCTCTGGTAAACTAACATAACTATGGAAAATCTCTATTTTTAATGGGAAAACTCACTAAAAATTGCCATTTTCAATAGCATAATAGCTATGTTTGTTTACCAGATGGTATGAGGAGTCACCGGCAAAATGGTGATGTTCGAGTTCGCCACGTGAAAAATCATCTGGAAAAAAGTGGTTTCGTATTGGGGAAAAGGTGTATATAACTCACTTGGGAATCGTCAGGCCAGACTTCCTCGGTTCAGCAGATATTCTCCCTGATTACCGCGAAGCTTGTTACGTGCTATTTTCCGCTTGTGTCCCTACTCTAAAAATCCCATTGCAGTATCTACACCTGCATCCCTCAGGCCCAAGATCAGTCAACTTCATTTTGGAATGCTTTCAGATCCAAGAAAGGACTTGACCACTGATATTCTATGATGATGTACATGCAGATTCAGATCTAATCTCTATTCAAGATTGATCATTGGTTTCATTGATTTGACCCACCACACACTGCCAAGTGATGTGATTTATGATAGCTAAGTTGGCAAACATGACTCCAATAACTCTTGGATTTATGCTGATGACAGAACTATAGGATACTATGGGGTTTTAAACCAACAAACATCACCCGGGGGGGGGGGCAATACCCGGGGCGAATTGGCCTGCTGCTCAGCATGCCGTGGAGGATCTCTTCCCTCACCGGCAAACAACTCATGACCTGGCTTGACCCGGTTGATCCTGAGGGGTTCCTGCACAGCCTTGGTGAATTCTATGTTTGACTAGGGGAATTTCTGGCACCAACTACCCTCTGGTAAACTAACATAGCTATTGAAAATGGCCATTTACAGTGGATTTACCCATTAAAAATAGTGATTTTCCATAGCTATGTTAGTTTACCAGAGGGTAGTTCAAAGGATTTGTAAACCAACAAACATAACTGGGGGGGGGCTCACCTTGTAGTTTATTGTGGATGAATGGAACATCATGGGGATATACAATGGGCATTTTGATGTGGGGTGTAGCACCCACTTAGTGTGATATTTGGGTGTGTCCAAAAGAATGGTATACCCCAAAATGACCAAAATTATGAATCATTCTATCTTGGTGTATGTATATATATAATATATGTATGGGGGTTTCCATAAATGGGGAATCCCCAAAAAGGTTTGTTTACAATGGAAAATCCATCTATAAATGGATGATTTATGGTACCCCCCATTTCAGAAAACCTCCATGGATACATATATATATATAATATATGATATTATACATTATATATATACATATTATATATATAGACATATATTATAGTTGTATCTTCAAGTTTGCTGTTGTTCGATCATCTGAGCTCGGTGCTTTTCGCAATCCATTTTCGCCATCCCCAAGAGAAAATACGGAACAAATGGAAAAATGACTTTCCACTGTTCCCAATGTATTTTCCCAAAAGCAACATGTTTTTTCGTTGCGGTTATCTTCAGCGGCTCCCCCCATCCCACAAAGTGCGGCCTCAGTTTGTTAGCTAAGTTGGTGAACATAACTCCAATATCTTATGGCTTCAATGTGGGTAAAACAATGCCATTTGCACCATCCCCCAGTCATCATCATAGCCATAGGTTTTTGATAAAGACCATTCCCAGTCATTGCTCGTTTATTTATTATTCCCTATGGATCCAGTCGTACCTTCTTAGGAAGTGGGACTGGGGTATGATTTGGAGGGTGATTTGTACCTTCTCAGACAGTGAGCATGGGTTCATAGGGATTGTTTTACTATGGAACTCACCATCTTTAAGTTCGGTAAATCAACTATTTCTATGAGCATCTATGAGCCATTGTCATTAGCAAGCTGTTTGTCATGACCAGAGGCTCTTCATCCCATATCCCTCCATTATTCACCGTGATTAATGTGGTTAACCCATTGTTAAACCATTAAAATCACCATAGGGATACATCGATGACCTGGTAGACCTGGTACCCATCGGGCGCCTCGGTGCTCGGAAAGGCGCAGTGCAGGAAGAGTCCCGTGGTGAAGTCCGGGTTTCGGTGATACACAAAGCGCGGCACCATCACCTCGGTTCCGGAAGATGTCCGGGACCGTGTTTTGGGAGGTTTTTGTCCACGGAAAAACGTTGATTTTAATGGGATTTATAATTGCCCAGAGGATCCATGTATGGTATATATTAGCTAACATGACTGGGGTATTTGGGGTATATTGATGGTAAATGTTACCATATATAGCATACATGGATCCGTCATGGGTAGTGGGATTTGATGGATTCTCATGGGATTTCATGGGATGTCATGGATTTGAAGGGCTTTCACAATGACATTTCACCTTAAATTCGATGGGATCTAACTCTGAGCCAATGGGTTGACGTCAAAAAAATGTGTCGGAAAAGATAGCCTGCAGGGAATTTCCTGAGGGATTCCACCAACAACATAAAAGATGATTTACCCTCTGGTACATAGCTATTGAAAATGGCCATTGAAATAGTTGATTTACCTATTAAAAAATGGTGATTTGCCATAGCTATGTTAAATTGTCAGAGGGTAATGAAATATGAATGGTGATATAATGGGATATGTGGGGATGTAATTGGATAACGACGTATTTTAATGGTGATTTATAATGGGGATATAGGGGATAATAACAAACAATATGATATCTTATCATATCTGGGTGTGATTGGGAATTGCTATGTATATATCTCGAACAACAATTATATAAATGGTTTAATGATGATCGACGTTGAAGTTGGGGTACACTATCTTCGATGAGTCTTCCGTTTCCCGTTCGGACATGATCGATAATCTATCGATAATATTCGCGGCCACAAAAAGGTAAATTTTGGGGTGGTGAATGTTGCTAAATATTCCCTACATGGAGCATCTGGGTAAAGCATGGGTGTGCAATTTATGTGCATAGGGGGTAAATACTCCCTTGCTGAACAAGACGGTTTTCAGAAGCCTAATAAAATGATCATTAACTGATCATTAACTGATCATTAATATGCATTAATCATATTCAATGGGTAGAATATATTGGGTACTGATCATTAATGATCATTTAATATTGGGTACAATATAAATCAATATTCAATCCGTGTAAACCTAGAGTTGTTGGACTCAGCCCACAATCTGAGGCATTTTTTTTCAGGCTTTTGCATAAGGTAGAAATGTATAGACATGTATAGACATACCCCGTTTCACAGTGCTGGCCGCATTCCCACACTGCTGGTTTGTTCAACACGTGCAGCACCGGCGCCAGTTCATAGTCGTGAATCCAGACCAAGGTATCCTCGTCTCCTGAGACCGGAGACGAACCAGGCGACGAGCCGCGCTTGGTGGTGCCGGCAGTTTAATGTTTCTTGGAATATACATAATAACTATGCTATATTATGGTTATCATCTATACATCTATGGTTATCATCTAGCTATGGTTTCTATCTATGGTTATCATCTAACTATGCTAAAAAAACATGCTTATATACTATGATTATAATCGATCAATAATCACCTAAACCAACTTAGCTCACCATGCACCACCTCGTGGGAACCAGGCGGTATCAACTACTGGGATGGCCACCCCAAAACCTTGATTTCATATCATTAATCCTTCAACTGCAGTTATGGCCCTTTACCAGTTATAAGTACTTATAACCCCATTTATAGAATGTATAATCCTATCTATAACCAGTTATAACTAATAAATGGCCATAACTGTGGTGAGCTTAACTACAAGTCTACAAGTAGCATGTTGGATTTCCATTTGGATTTCCATGGCCCCTTTTTCCATGGGCGCACAACGGCCTTTGTGTTTTTTTTTCCCCTTCGCCATTGGTCCAAAAAACAGGTCCAAGCATCCGTTGTTGGTGATGACTTCGGCATAGGCATTGTTCAAGGCCTGAAAACTCTTCCACAGGGCTTTGTCGAAGGATTCCATATCCTTAAGGACAAGGCGACTGGCGACGACGAGGACCATGGGCACCATGGTCCTCTCAGAACTCATGGGCCCTTCATGCATGGGACGACTCGATTTTTTGCTGCAGTTGAGGTGGAAAAAACGGATATAACATGATATAACATGATATAACATAGTTTGACCATGGTGAACTACCCCCCCCATAGGTTGGGAGATGTGCCCCTTTTTGGGGCTGAGATTTATTCAGAGATCACTGGAACTGACCACCAAGCCGGCGGGACTCAACAAACTTTTGAGCGAGATGAGTGCTAGGCAGTGCTAGTTTAATAAATTGCATGGTTCACTACATGCTACTGCCCACTAGTGAACCAACGAAAAATACTGGTTACTGTCGATGTTTTCACGGGGTGAATCATTACATCATATTACATCCAAGTCGCTCTGCGGGTCATTTTTGATCGTGCGGAACGCCGGGGTCCCCAAAGATATCAAGTCGCGTAACAGTGGATGTCAGGAATTTCCAGGATGGTCTGCCGCCGACCAACAAAATTCAGCCAGGCATCAGCGTCGCCCGTGATGGTGGAATCGAAAATCTTCATATTGTGAAAAACGGGCCATAAGTAGTCTTCCTGAGGCAGAAAACCGCAGAAAGATCTGGGAGCGTCTCTGAAAATGTTGGGGAAACATGAGGAAACTCAACTGAAATCTCTTAAACCTCTTATTTTCTCCGATCATATTGGGGAAAACATCGGTGGTGACAATTGCATATGTTAGCAAGTTTATCTTCACCACATTTAGAGATCAACTTGGGGGACACCCTGATTTTCAGCTACCGGGCCTGAGACTCCCAACGGACCAAGTTCTCTAGGAACTGACATGAAATTAGAGCAAACCAATCATCTTTTCATAGCTTTCCAATGGTTTCCACATTTTTTCCAGAAGAAATGCGGTTTTCCTACTTCTGCCGGCAGTGGACCATGGTCAAATCATCTTCCGTCAATGAATTTGCCAGGCCATGAGGGGTAAATGTCCTGGCACCATCACCAGTCATCACCACAGTCATCACCATCATTACTTACCCGCATCATCCTCATTCTCATCTTCATCCTCGTACTCATACTCGTCCTCCTCCTCCTCATCATCATCATCATCATTCTCGATATTCTCATCCTCCCTGGTCTCAGCCTCATTATCCTCATCATTAACCCCGCCCTACTAGCTGCTCCTACCCGAGACGGCGCTTCACCAAGCATCTGAGAAGAAGTTGTGTTTCTGTACAAGGTCCTGCCAACACTGCCCCAGTCATTTGGGTCAACGATATGAACAAAAAACTGAAAGAACAAAACGACAACGGTGAACTATGGTGAACTTTTGTCCTTCACGATAAGATGGTCAACCGGTGATAGGGACATTAAACAAGGCTGCTAGGTTTCTGTGAAAAGGGGTTCTGTAAGTTGGGGCCACAGGTAATCGCGACGTTGGTAAACAGGATTTAACTCTAAGAACTGTTGGGTTTAGGATATATGAGAATTTCATAGGGGAGGTCACCACCTTCTAGTCTTTCCATGTTTTTCCTATATGCCTATCACCGTAGTTACTTCCAAGGTGGATCGGTCTTCGTGCCATCGTGCCATGGTAGTGCCCAAACACTTGGAGTTTTTTAGCTGGGGCCCTTGGGAAACTCAAAAGATTGAAACCACACCATCAAAAGCTCCATGTCAAATCATGCCAGAGGAAAACTATCTGATATACATTGATATACTACAGTATATGCTCAAACGAAAACATCCAAAGTGAGTTTCTGGAAGCAAAAAATTACACATACATGAACTTCAAGTAGACTAGCACACATGGTTCACAAAACTTACAAGCCTCTGCTGAATTTTGTTGGCCCAAAAGTAGACACTATGTCATCCGCTGCGTCTTATCTAACTATCAGTCAAATTATATGGGTCAGAGTCTTCAACCACCATCCAGAGGTATTTTTTGTTTCGAAAACTCTTTAAAACCACCAAACGAGTTTTGGATCCGTGTCAACTATTTCGGCTTTCCGAAATTGACCCAAGAAAAAAACTCCACTATTTGGTCACCCAAGTTTCACCGATTGGCCAATGGGGGAACCTTACCCTCTGGTAATTTCACATAGCTATAGAAAATCACCATTTTTAAGAACGGTAAACCGTAAACCATCTATTTCTTTGGGCCATTTTCCATAGCTTTTTGTATGTTTACCAGAGGGTAACCGCTTCCGCGGTGCGCTGCGCAGCGGCCTCATCTAAGAAGACAGGGATGCAACTGTGTTGCGCCAGAATCTCGGTGAGCTTCTTCCTGCGGACATGGATCGAATCTTAAGGTGTTGTTTTTAAAGGCCATGATTGCATGGTATATGATATATATATATATATGATATATATATAGGTACTAATGTGAAACTGTGATTTAATGATTTTTTTTGCCATTAGTTACCCAATATAAATATAGGTACTAATGTGAAACTGTGATTTAATGATTTTTTTTTTGGCCATTAATTACCCATGACGGATCCATGGTGCTGCTATATATGGTAACATGGATCCCATCAATATACCCCAAATGTTAGCATATATACCAGCACCATGGATCCTATGCCATGATTGCATGGTTTTGATGTACCCTCTGGTAATGACTAACAGTTTGCGACATAAAGCCATGGCACATAGAAATAGTCGATTTACCGAACTTAAAGATGGTGATCTTCCATAGCTATGTGGCTGTTTATCAGAGGGTCCCCAACCTCGCAATTTCCTTGATAGAAATTGCTAGCTCCTTGACATCAAAACATATCAAAACCAAGGTTTCACATCCGCAAATTGACATTGTACAGAGGTTTCCTAACATATAAAATCCCCCAAAAGCATGGAATTTTCCCATGAATATCCATTTATCACACATTTTGGATGATAACTTGGGGTACCCCCATGACTTAGGAACCGATTCACGGAACGCACGGTCAGCACGACGCCTTTCGGCCTCATCGGTCACGCAAACGCCTGGCGGACAAGGGCCACCACGGAGTCTCAACAAATCTGGTGGAACCACATGGATAGGGAGATGGGGATTACCCTCTGGTAAACTAACGTAGCTATGGAAAATCACCATTTTACGAGCAAAATAACTATAAATTATAAATGGTCATTTTCAATAGCAAACTGTTAGTTTACCAGAGGGTATACTGGATAAACAATCAGCTATGGAGGGATGATTGAATCAACGGCTGGGAATTCACTATATTCACTCAACAAACATGGAAATCTCGCCAAAGAGAAGATGTGTGAATATCAACAAAGAGTGTTGGTATGCGAAACAAACGTCCGAATTTGGTTGGAAAACGAAACCCACACGTCACAACGCTGGGGTTTCGTAAAGTATCTGTATAGCTTCTGGAGATGGGAATCCCATCAATCTCGTTGGGAATCTTCAGATCCCCCATTTTAAAACAATGGAGTTGCTCTTAGCTTGAGATCCCCAATTGACTTCCACATCTGAGGTCAAAAACCCAGTTTGGTACCCTTTTTTATCTTCACATCAAACACATTTATGGGGCCGTTTGTGGTTTGGGCCAGTCATAAAAGACAAGTAAACCTCATCTGGGTATGTCTCAAGATGGGTTACCCTCTGGTAAATTAACATAGCTATTGAAAATCACCATTTACAGTGAGTTTTCCCATGAAAAATGGTGATTTTCCATAGTTATGTTAAATTACCAGAGGGTACCCCCCATTCCAACCCATTTCAGCGGATTAAGACTTCTCCATGGCAACAAACATTGCTACAAAAAGGCTCCGTTGATTCCCCCCTTATTCCCCCCTTATTCCCCCCTTTTCTGGACAAACCCACGTCACAGTTAGCTTTATAAACCATTCCATAATTAAAGCTTCACATTGACTAATCCCATAATATACATGTCCCTCACATCAAGCAATCAGATAATAAGAAAATAAGTAATACCAATATCCCACAATAAGTCGTCATAACCACACATAGGCATACAAAATCATACATAGTCATAGCCGCGCCCATCCCAGTGAAATTCCCAGGGTGATAACCATGAGACCACCTTTCATTGTCTTAACCCAACCGTAAAATAATCATCCAAACAAAATGAACACAAACACTCTCTACAGTAATGGCTTCTCATCACAATGACTGTTACATAAAATAAAATCATTTTGGTTGGTTACCATGAAAGCATGTTATATCAACAATTAATCAACCATATACACGGGGTGCTCCCCAGTCAAAAGTTGGTTTACAATCATCATTAACTATAGACATACCTACGTACCGTAAACCCACCTACTGTATTTGTACACCAACTTTGCTAATGAAGTGGGGCGCCACTCTATGATACCATGATATACTTATTGTTGTAATAACTATTAAATGTGCCATAGTCAAAACATCAAACAAATGGTAACCCGAACATAACGGTTTCTTGGGGACTTCCATCCCTGTAAAAATGGATTGATGTCAATCCCCTAGCACGGGCAATTTACCTGTCAATATCAGTATAGAAGCCACACCTTGCAATTATGATAATCAACCATGACATGTATATTTATATGCATATTAACATATGTTAACATATTAATTAACATATGCATTGACATATTCATTAACATATTAAACTAAACAACATATTATTATATTAACTAACATATGAAGCAACCTATTGTTCAACATTGACTGACCTCTGAAAAATATGAGTTCGTCAGTTGGGATGATGACATTCCCAATATATGGAAACAAATGTTCCAAACCACCAGCCAGATTATTAAACAATCATTAAACCATCACACTTTTGTTGATTACCATCTGGTTATGACTAACAGTTTGCCATGGAAAATCACCATTTTTTTAATAGGTAAACCATCTATTTCTATGGGCCATTTTCCATGGCATACTGTTAGTCATAACCATGGTTTCAACTGCCCCAAACCCCCCGCCTGGGTTTCCAATGAACTTCACCTGCACATCGATGGCTTCGCCCTGCGGCAGCTGCGCATCCGTCTGCCTCGAAAAAAACGCAGACGGGAGCGCGCTGAGGCCATGCAATGAAGCATCGGCAACGTTGGTAAAGTGGTTCATGTGGTAAAGTGGTGAATAAAAACCATCATAAATCTAGCATTTTACAACTGGTGGTGAATTAAAACCTATGATTTTATGTCCAAATGTGGAAACAAATCTGTGGTGAAGCAAAACACACATGACATAAACCTACCATTTGGATCCATGACTGGGGATGGTGACTTGGTTGCACCCACAACAATGGTGATTTTGCTGACTTGAAACCAGCAGATTTACCTTCAAGACTGGCACGTTTTGGTAAATGGCACATATTGCAGACATGGAGCCTTCAGGATTGCTAGATGAATATCATTTATGATAGGATATGTTTTATACGATGTTCCAACATATTGATTTTTTCTAAAGGATTTTAAATATGTTTAAAATCATTATATGTTCATCCATTTTTTCTGAAGGATTTTGATGATGCGATCAGAATCATATAGGACATAAATGTAGCATATTGTGATCAGATTTCTTTCTTGGATTCTAGTTCATGGGGTTTTCCATGTATCATAGTTGATGGCTTCGCTTTTCGAAACTTGGGAATTGAAATCATTGGCATTTTGGGTCGGATTGAATCGGGTCGGATCTTTTTTTTGGAAGCTCCTGATCACACTGGGATGGATCACCATCATTTCACCTAATAATTTTTCCCCAAATCACAACCCATATACACATTTGTAAAATAAAACTGTGATATACTATGGTATAATCATGGTATATCTAGTGTATCATAGTATTATACCATTAAGTATACCATTCTGTATACCATAGTATACCATTATACATACATATAATCATACCATGGCCCCCATTATAACCTGATGAAATGCGCAAAGCCCAGGCCATGGCCGAGACGCGTGAAGTGCTTCAGCAGGGGCAAGGCCGTCCCAGCCGAATGGCTGATCTTTTCCACCTACGTCGAGACGAAGAAAGTTACAGATCTGCCGTTCGCCGGCCACGCCCTTCGCGAAGATGGGAACATCAACTATACAATTTGGTGCCCGCAAGATAGCTAAGTTGGTTTATAACTCTAATAACTAGGAGTTATGGTAGATATATCTATAGTTAATGGGATTACAAACCAACTTATAACCTGGGGGGCACCACCTTGTATTAATGTTATATGTTCATATACTAGCTAATTCAACGATGTATAGTCCGACATATCGCTGAATTTATAGTTGAATTGCCATATTTCTAATAGGATGTTATATATAGGTAATTCAACTATACATGGCTCATTCCCATATGCTCCATGGCTCCATGTATGGAAGGTGTATCAACATTTACCACCAAAATCAACCAGTTTTGTAGGTCAATATACTATACATGGAGCATCTTGGATTGGTTGACAAGGACTGTGTACACATTCGCATTCTTGGATGATTTGATGCATGATGTAACTTATTATATAATATATATATATATCAAATCATCAGTTCATTATTATATATTAGAAATGGGTGTATATATTAAAACATATAAATGGTACCCCAATTATTATCTTGGTAATAAACAAAATATAATATACCCCCAGTTCAAATTGCTTTGGGAATCCATTTGATCCACCAACTTTCGTGTTGTCAGACTATGGGTGAACGTCCTCAAGTGGAGGCTTTCAGAATCTACAGGATCAACAGGGTGAAGAACAAGAGACAGCTTGCCACTTTTACTATTGTAGTTAATATACTGTTAATAATGCTTAATATTAATGGTTATTATATGGTTAATGATGGTTAATTATATGGTTAATATATGGTTATTATATGGTTACAATCATCTGGGTAAATTATCATATTTCACTATAGCTGGGAACATCATCTATATTAATTGTAAAGGTTTATAGCTGGGATAATAAATAAATTATATCTGGTTGGTGGATGTTGGTGGTTTCAACCCCTCTGAAAAATATGAAAGTCAGTTGGGATGATGACATTCCCAATATATGGAAAAAATCAATTCATGTTCCAAACCACCAATCAAACTATATTTTGTAAGACTGGTGATTGGCAAATGTCACCATTTAATACGTACGTAGCCACTCTCCCTTGGCACCTGCCAATCACCCTTCTCGGATCGCGTGACCACGACCTTGGCACGACATGGCCATGGCAAATCTCCAAATAATTAGAGCTGGTTATTGCCACATATCTTTGAGTTATATCATGTTATATCATGTTATATCATCTGTATCACCTGATTGCTCCCATCATCAGTTGGCTTTATTATCTTTATTTGGCTTGGTATGTGAATATGTGTGTTTTTTGGTGTTGGGTATATCTATTCCACCATATCCCAACATATCCCAACTATATCCCCAGCATGTAAACGATGACCTTCGTATTAAGCCCCTATTCTTGGTTCTGTCACTTGAGACAGTGTGGTTTGGATCCAAACACCTTCCCTGGCGTCAACCTATCACAAATAGGTATCCACTTGGATCATCATCCAATCCATCACAATGAATATATTAAGCTCTACTGTAAAATATATCAACAAGTCCTTACATTATCACTTGTTCACTGATAAATACCTTATTATATCACCTCCATCATAAATGTTTTCCCATTCTACTCTCCATTGTTGATAAGACAAAGCAAGTGGCTTTAATGGAAGGATAGGGTATCTTTATATCAGCTCTACACTGCTCTACGCACATGATAATAGGTGATATTAGGTATATGTAGGTATTCATCCCAGAATTACTTTCCTGTTCGCCCAACACACCATGGATCCATTGTCCCAGTCGCCGGAAGATTTCGAAAGACCAGGAAGGCTTTGTCGTCACCTCACTGGAAACCCTAAAATCCTAAGACTTCCTCCCTGGAAAGGCATTGAAAGCCCAACAGCGGGGCCTTCATTGTTGGTCTCAAGTTGTATTTCTGAAAATGGTGCCTTCAGATCTCGATGGTCTTCAGTTTTGGGGGAAATATGATTCCGGTATTCAATTCTGTGAGATATCTCGAAAGAACGTGAGATTTAACTGGGGTGAATAGCTGGATTGCTAGGCTAAGATTTCCTGAGACAAAGGGAACGCCTTCCAAACCACTGCTGTTTGGCTTTGAAAACATGAACGATCCTTTTAGCACATGATAGGCGGATTCACTGCGTCATATTTGATAATCCCATTGAATCACCAGCATTGAACCAATAAAGAACTAATCATGTAATTCAATTCATCAATATCTACAGGGAAAATTGCTTGAATAGTGACCACCCATCCCTGGAACCATGCAATTCAAAAACCAGTATTCAAAACTATCTTTGGAACAATTAACATCATGTACCAAGCTTTACTTGTAATCACAGAAGATTTTATGTGCACGTGTCCGTTTTTGGTGAAATCACCCTGTTTCGTTGGTTTCATCCGCATTCCGAGTCACGCGTGATGTCGCAGAGCCTTGTAAGATCCTGAGATCAGCAAATTTTCTCATGGCATGCTGAAGATAAACTATAATTTAAATGTATTATTGAACTGTATTGTAGCATACTATCATACATTGAACTATGTTTCTATCAAAATATGTATATCATATAATATGTATATATAGATTCGACCATCTTTCTTTTGGAACCCCAATAATAGCGCAACCTGATCCTTCAACCTGTCTGACATGAACCATATAACGATATAATAAGCCCTCATTCAAAAAATAGCAGTTGGTAAAAAATCATTCCTAAAAAACCTGTTTGGGGCTTGCTACAATATATAGTCGGGGACGCCCTGTAAGCAGAGACTAATCTGCTTACTGCATCTGCCAGAGGCCAAAATCAGGCAAATAAGAAATGACCTAAGTAAGGCCTAAGTACAAGCACCTGTAGTAAGCAGATATATGAACATATACACCAAAGACAATTTCAGAATCTGCTTACTACAGCTCCGTTGTCCTGAAGTGTTTGTGCTCGCTTCTTCCAAGCTCAAACTCAAAAAAATTAATTGCAAACATGTCGGAAGTAGCGCCGAACCTAGTTAGTGCCCAGCGATGGGCGGAAATAGCCTTCTCTGCGTTGGAGCCAGATGACTCTCTTTTGTGGAGCGAGGTGTCATTTCCAACTTCTTCGATGTCTTCTGGGGCCTGTTATGCTGACAGATGTTTGGAATACATCAGCTCAGCCAGGCAGGGACAGAAAAAATCGATGCCAGTTCTTTCGGAAGCTGGGCACCAAGTTGAAAGGGACCTCTTGCCTAGAAAATGACATGTAAGAGGATGTAAGCCATAAATATATATATATAATATAGTGTTGGAAGAAACAACATGCAGTTTCATTTTCATAGTTTATGCCTCGCAACCAAGTGCAGTAAGCAGATCCAGTATCTGCTTACTGCGTTCTGCCTGCTGCACCCTCCTCAAAATTTTAAAACAATGCTAAAAAACATTGAAAAAACAATGAAAGAACAATGAAAAAACAATGAAAAGTGATGAAAAATAGAGAAAAAACAATGAACAGCAATGAAAAATAATGAAACATAGAGAAAAAACAAAGAAAAGCAATGAACAAACGATGACAAATAGAGAAAAATGATGACAAATAGAGAAAAATGATGAAACATAGAGAAAAAATGATGAAACATAGAGAAAACTGATGAAACATAGAGACAAAACAATGAAAAAATAATGAAAAATAATGAAACATAGAGAAAAAACAAAGAAAAGCAATGAACAAACGATGACAAATAGAGAAAAATGATGAAAAATAGAGAAAAATGATGAAAAATAGAGAAAAAAATGATGAAACATAGAGAAAAATGATGAAACATAGAGACAAAACAATGAAAAAATAATGAAAAATAATGAAACATAGAGAAAAAACAAAGAAAAGCAATGAACAAACGATGACAAATAGAGAAAAATGATGAAAAATAGAGAAAAATGATGAAAAATAGAGAAAAAAATGATGAAACATAGAGAAAAATGATGAAACATAGAGACAAAACAATGAAAAAATAATGAAAAATAATGAAACATAGAGAAAAAACAAAGAAAAGATGATGACAAATAGAGAAAAAATGAAAAATGAAAAATGATGAAAAATAGAGAAAAAATGATGAAACATAGAGAAAAATGATGAAACATAGAGACAAAACAATGAAAAAATAATGAAAAGGTTTGGCTCGAGGACTTCGACCCGTACAGGGCTGATCCCGCCAGCGCGCGCGCGCGTTGGCAGAAAGGCTGGCCCGAGGACTTGGACCCATCCACCCGGGGTACTACAACGGGGCACTACAACAGGGAAACAAAAAGGGAACAACACATGGAAAAATTTTAGAAAAATATATCTATAAATTTCAGATTTTTTATTTGATTTTTTTCATTTTTTCATCCATTGCTTTAAAGCACTTAAATAAGTTTAAAATTTATAGATATGATTTTTCTATTTTTTTCATTTTTCGTTTTTCCATTTTGTTTCCCATTGTATTCCCCGTTGTAGTGCCCCGTTGTAGTGCCCCGTTGTAGTACCCTGGGTGGATGGGTCGAAGTCCTTGAGCCGGACCTGCCGGACCTGAACCTTATATTCTATATTGTTTCCTCTATGTTTCATCATTTTTTCCATATGTTTCATCTGTTTTCCCTCTATTTTTCATCATTTATTATCTATGTTTCATATTTTGTCTCTATGTTTCATCATTTTTTCTCTGTTTTTCATCATTCTTCTCTATTTTTCATCATTTTTCTCTATTTGTCATCGTTTGTTCATTGCTTTTCTTTGTTTTTTCTCTATGTTTCATTATTTTTCATTGCTGTTCATTGTTTTTTCTCTATTTTTCATCACTTTTCATTGTTTTTTCATTGTTCTTTCATTGTTTTTTCAATGTTTTTTAGCATTGTTTTAAAATTTTGAGGAGGGTGCAGCAGGCAGAACGCAGTAGGTTGCGAGGCATAAACTATGAAAATGAAACTGCATGTTGTTTCTTCCAACACTATATTATATATATATATATTTATGGCTTACATCCTCTTACATGTCATTTTCTAGGCAAGAGGTCCCTTTCAACTTGGTGCCCAGCTTCCGAAAGAACTGGCATCGATTTTTTCTGTCCCTGCCTGGCTGAGCTGATGTATTCCAAACAGCAAATTCAGCAGCAAATTTTCAGGTGGGGCACCTTATTTTTGGACACAACCCGCAGGACAGGTACAGTAGACTTAGTGTCCAGAGCTAGGGCAGTAAGCAGCTCGGGGCTACGAACGGGACCTTATATGAATCCCTAAAATACCCTCCTGCTTACTACTTTGCTTCGGCTGGTTCCTGCTTACTGGCCGTCCGCGACTATATATATATATACATCATCTACAGTAGATTGATTGTTAGACCACAACAGTCACATTTCCAAGAACCCCCAAGAATTTTGTTTCCCCAACATAGCCCCAAAAAACTTGAGTTTCAGACATCAACCACTGGGAATTTGGGCACATCTGCGTTGGCCGCTCCGTCTATGCATTATCAGCTTGTTACGCTTGTTTTTAGGTGGTTCTATCATTTCCCCCCAAAACTAGTTTAATCTAGTTTGTAAGTATACACCAATTGTTGTGAGTTAAAACTAGTGTATAGTATACAATAGTATACAACACTTGTTGTGAGTTGGTTTTACCCTTTCATTAATTATATCCCCCAAGAAAACGACAGGTTCATTGGTGATTTTCCCATGACATGATATAGTCTTCCTATATCCCCATGATCAGATTATAGTCCCAATCATGTGTGATATAATTCCCTACACCCACCAAGCTTTGTGGGGTGCAGTTGTGGCCCTTAACAGTTAGAAATGAGATGATAACTTCTGCAACTCAGGTTATATATCACTTGGACGAGATTTGTTCAGCCACTTAAAAGTGTCAAGGACCATAACTGTGTGTTCACCTACAAGTTATAACCGTTCAGTCTTTTACATCCCATATCCATCTATGTCCATCCATATCCCATGATTTCTTCTTGGTTAAACCCAAACGTATCCTGGTTGGTGGTATACCTACGCCTCTGAAAAATGATGGAGTTCGTCAGTTGGGATCATTATTCCATTCCGAATATGATGGGAAAGTCATAATCCATTCATGTGCCAAACCACCAACCAGTATCCTATCCCATGATTTCTTGTTGGTTAAACCCAAACATATCCCATCATCATCTACCACTCCGGGGACCGCACCATTGACTTACTCCGCATGCCCATGCGCGGCGACGGGGAAGGGCTCTGCGGCGGAGTGTTTTCGTGGCCCGAGAGCTTACGCCTCGGCCGACCGGGTTCTGCAGTGACAACGTGTGGTTGTTTTGGTCTAAGATGTTGATGAACCATGATTTACCATTTTTCATGGGTAAATCCACTATTTCGACTGGGCCATGGCTTCAATAGCTTTTTGTATGTTTACCAGAGGGTACAGTGGTATAACATGTTTTATATTGGCTCTTGGAAATTTAAGTTGGGAACTCAGTGAACTCAGTTGTCATTGAGTAATGTCAGTTCTTATCCAAGTGCTCCAAATGCAGGGGTAGCATTTAAAGGTGATTTGTTTGGGGGAATGTTGGAAAAAATCCATGAAGCATCTGGGTATGGTTGAGTTAAGAAAAAACACAAACTTCTTGATAATAAGGAAAATATGGTCGATCTATAGTTAACAAACTGCTATGCATGAACAATTTAAACAATGTAGCAATGGTACCACCTATTGGTTGATTTGATTCTGATTAAAGTATATTCAAATCATTTTAACTGGGGTTGAATAAAAAAAAAGGTTGGAGATTCATTTTTTTGGGTTTGCCACATAAAATGGATAATAGATGGGTCAAGTTTACCAACTTGTGCACATGACATGGATAGTACACAGGTCAATTTCATAAAGTTATTGTCCACATGAAATGGATAGTAGATGGATCAATTTCAAAAAACTTATGACTTGTGCCACCAGTACTTTTACCACTTTGCTGACCGGAAAAAATAAAAACCCAACAAAGGTCGCAGACCGTCTCGGGCAGGATGTTTTTACGATCATGAAATATCCAAATTCAAGCAACCACTCCATACAATTTTTCTGAATTCCATATCGACCCACGTCCCAAAGCTGTTTGGTCAGTCCATGAAATCAAAAAAAATATTGTTCCATTAAAGACTCTGTCCAGCTGCGACTTGGACTGGGTTTCCACACTCAAAGCCGGCGTTTCCGCGCAACTGGGAAATTCAAAAACCGCTGTGAAACCCGGGGCGCCAACATGTTCGGGTATGATTGGTCCATACTTAGTGTTGCAGTAACATGTTACACATATTTACACATTATCTTACAATGGATTCTCAACAATGAGCAACATGTTACAATGTCTTTGTATGATAGGTCATGTGGGAATCATAAAACATTAGGTTTTTGGATACTCGATTGTGACCCAAAGCTATATGACCGCTGGGTAGATTTCACGGAGACCCAAAGTGACCCAAACATGTCTCGCTCCAAATTGTGTTGACAAAACCATAAATGCTGCGTTTAAAAACCAAATACCAAATTTTCCTGACTCAATCTGGCAATGTTGATTTTTCAAATCATAGCCAAACATAAAAAGTTAATTCTGATCCAAAAAAATCCACATCTATGGGTGTTTTAAGCAAACAATGTTGTCTTTTTTTGAAGCAACTTGTCACAAATCAGCACAAGGATCTCCTTATCTGCTGTGGATATTTTTTCAAACTTGTCACAAAGATTGGTTTCCCATGGGTTTTTCCCCTGGGTTTTCCCATGGTTTCCCTCTCAAACAGACGGTGACACGTCGAGACCTCGACGCTTTGGGGCCCTTGGGGACCGCCCGGTGCCTGCATCACCTCATCGTCTCCAGTGACACGACATCTTCCACCATCATCTTCCAGGGTCAGCAAGCGGCCTGTGCCCAGCAAAGATCGATATGTTTTTGGGGTATGTAAACTGGTCATTATCCAATGGAAAATCCCCTAGAAATCATGGGGAATCATAGGAAAATGTGAGAAATAGTGATATTTATAACTGGTTGGTGGTTTTTCGCCCTACCCCTCTGAAAAATGATGGAGTGAAAGTCAGTTGGGATGATGACATTCCCAATATATGGAAAAATAAAATTCATGTTCCAAACCACCAACTAGTAAATGTCACTATCCAGGAATATACATTATTATTGGTAATAATTACATTCTTATTGGTAATAATTACATTATTATTGGTAATACTACTAGTATTGCTATCATCAATATGGTATTATCAATATTATTATTACAGTACTAAAATCAACCATTGATTCGCCATTGATTATCCATTCTTATGCAAGGTTAGAGTCAATGCGTAGCTGTGGGGATTGTTTTGATTGGTTTATGGATCATCCCAGAGACGAACATTAAACACATCCTAAAACATGTAAAGACATGTGTGTATATATATATATATGTATACACATATAATATTATATATCTATATATACAGTAAATGTACAGTATACATATATATATACATATTATTGCATATTGTATGTTTGAAACTACCAAAGACATGTGATGTCTCACATGTTGGACCGAAACCCATGGTTTAGACTCTCAAGTGTCCAATTCTTTGGATGGCCATTTGATGGCGAAACTGAATATTTCAAGCCCCACAGTTATGGCCGTTTACCAGTTATAAGTACTTATAACCCCATTTATTGAATGTATAATCCTATCTATAACCAGTTCTAACTAATAAATGGCCATAACTGCATGGCCCTTTTGGTCGCCTATTTTGTTGAGTCGCACCCCGGGACCCAGCCAGGACCCCCATGTTGCGCCGTTTTTGCGCCATCCGCAGGTTGCAAAAGCGGTTCCGGACCCGAAATCTCGGGTCGGCGATGTTGCGCTCCGCGCAGCGGCAACCCGTTTTTCGGAGATTCCATCGACGGCTAGGAGAACTTGATGTTCACCTGTCGCGGCTTGAGACGTTGGTGAACGGGTGCGGCAGTTTGGGTCAGATGGTGTATGGTTTGCGGTCATATGTGGTCATCCATAATATTCCATGGCGATCCAAGCACAATGGGTATATGAATCGCTATAGATAACCATCTCGCAAGGACTGGGACAATCTAACAGATCTCCTCAAGCTTCCCACTCCAAAAAGTCTGGCAAAAGAGCCCCATTTGTGACAGGTTCTGATTGGGCGACAACGTGCTTTCACCTATACTTATAATGTTGGTTTATAACCCGCATCAACCACACATATGATATAATATAATATATAAATATATAATGTATATGTATATGTATGTACATGCATATACACATTGTACTGTACATATACATAGTATATATCCTCTGGTAATTTAACATAGCTATTGAAAATGGCCCATTTATAGTTGATTTACCTAACTTAAAGATGGTGATTTTCCATAGCTATGTCAGTTTACCAGAGGGTACACCATAAGCCCAAGACTTTTTTGAGGAACCAAGTTACATGGGCCCCACCATAAGACCAAGCTTGCCACAGGGAGTTTAGTTCGACTATCCAGTCGATACCATGTCCTGGAACACTTGCAGGTTGCACGTATCTGTCATTATGACCTAATTCTGCTCCACTACTATATATTGATCCATATTCTGGTGGAATGTAGTGGATATCGTTCAATTCAATGGATTGAGTCAAGGGAACATCTGAAGAAAACCATGTTTTTTTTTTTTTTTTTTTCACATGTGTTTACCACCATTAAGAACTGCGCCTTCCAATCTTCGTCCGTCAAGGCGTACACCGTCTTTGCCAGCAGGTTCTCATCCCCATCCTCCGGATACCTTGGCTCGACCTAGGGACCTAGTGGAGAATCATGGCATGGCATCATGGCGAGCTCACCAGTTGATAAAAAAAACAAATCATGTCACCCCAAATATTCAGAGCCCAGCGAATTTGGGGGAAGTGTGATATTTGCTTCTGTAGAGAGATTGACTTCAGTGTATTCATGGGATATGTTCCTGGTATTGCAGTATGGATATTTCCTTGTATCTATGAACATAGATACACAGTGATAAACTGGAACATCCAAGTTGAGACAGAGTTCTGTCTGGGTCAAACCCCTGAAACAAACTACCAAGACCCATAGAGAACGCAAACAAAAGGCTTTGGAGGATGGAATCAGAATTGAAGTGGCTAGGTTTTGGGAATGTAAAACCTCAATATTGAATGGTTTCAGCCTTTGATTGTTAATTATTAGATATCTCCACGTGGGGTCCAAATACGCACATTGACCTGCCATAGATGCATAGTAACTCCTGCTGCGATTTTGCTTGACAACTCCCTCGTTTTCAATGGCCAGTCCAAGATAGAACCCTGGAGATCCCCAGAGACATGCCCGGCCTGGTAAACATACAAAAAGCTATTGAATATGGTGGATTTTTCCATCGTTTTTTGTATGTTTACCAGAGGGTATCCCCAATAAACCAGGGTCATTAGCCCCCGAAAATCAACTATAAATGGTCATTTTCAATAGCTATGTTAGTTTACCAGAGGGTATATGGGAAAATATGATGATTCTCCACGGGAAATGGGGAATCATAGCACAATCCATCGGATTGGAGGTATCCTTTTCCTTCAAGGGGGTACCCCCTTGCATCATCCAAGTCATGGATGACCATTTTATTATCAAAACCTATTGGTGACTTGGGGATCCCCCTCATTAAAAAAACACACACATCCATATCACCCCATTCATAGCCAAAAAGTCAGCCATTCTGACCTAACATCTAACTAGATCTAACTACTTACCCCATTTGATCAACTCATCACCAGTCAGTTAGTTCAACCTCAACAAAAATCTACCAGGATTTGCCCCAAAAAATGATACACTCAAGTTTTCTTCACCATGTCATGATACCCATGTGCTGATAACTTCACCTATCAACAATTGCTGCAGCTCAAGAAAAAAATCACACTACTCCGGTTGCTTTAATCCAAACACACTCGGATAATCAAACATGGCAATGGAAAAATTGGCCATTCATAGATTGTCATCCCAAATACTCCATCTATAGGGGATCTCTTAGCCAGCCACCTTTGATGAAACAAAAATCGCACCTTCCCACTGGCCAGTGGCCCTTTATAAGTATACTTAAAACCCCATTATGGAATCATGGAATATATAATCCGATTTATAACCAGTTATAACCAACAAATTTTGGTTTTGCAATCCGGAAGTCTTCACTGAATCATACAAACCAATGATAATCCCATTTATCACCAGGATTCCCCAACCAAGGCACTCCCCGCGCGTCTTGGACGCCGGCCCCCCGAAGGGTCGCGCGGCCTCCGCCGCGCCGATGGCACCGTCGACCTCGCCGTCCAGGACGCGGCGCGCGCGTTCGCGTTCGCGGCGCAGGTACGACTCCTCCTGCTGCGCGGAGCGACGCCTTTCCTGGACCTGGCTGGTGCAAAATGGCGAAGTTGGTTCCTACAGAACTCCAAGAACTCTGGGGATTATGGTAGTTTTTTATATATATATATTATTAGATAGATTAGGTATAGAAATGGATATAGACATAGATATAGATATAAACATAGATGGATGGATGGATGGATGGATAGATAGATAGATAGATAGGATAGGATAGGATAAGATAAGATTAGATTAGATAAGATAAGATAAGATTAGATTAGATTACGATAAGATAGATAAGATAAGATAAGATAAGGTAAGATAAGATAAGTTAAGATAAGATAAGATAAGATAGATAGATATAGATATAGATATAGATATAGACACAGATATAGGTATAGACATAGATATAGATATAGACATAGATATAGACATAGATATAGGTATAGACATAGATATAGATTTTAATTTAGATACAGATATAGTTCCAGGGAGCTCTAACGCTTTTTAGTCGAGGGGAAATTGGATTTGAGCATCCAACATGATGGAAAATGGTGATTAACTAGAGACTTATAGCTCACTGATCATAGCAAAATTAGGAAACATAACTGCAAAAACTACCCTCTGGTTATTTAACATAGCCATGGAAAATGGCCCATTTATAGATGGTTTCCCTATTAACAATTGTGATTTTACATGGCAAACTGTTAAATAACCAGAGGGTAACTCCAAAAACTAGGCTTTATGGTCGATGAGTCGAACCTACGTAGTGGTCAAAAACACAGTCCTGGGGGGCATCATCTTGATATGTAAAACCCAGGAGACCTACGTGTGGTCAAAAGATGGGGCGAGGGGTATGAGAAAATACCAGCTGGTCCCAACTGGGAAAAAAAACGCTGTTATGACCAAGGAAATACGCACGTCATGTGTCTTGTGTTGTTTGAGAAAAAGTAGCATAGATAGCAAACAGCGGATTAGCACATTGTGTGTCCAATCATATCTGACACGTGGTAAATCTCAATGTTTGGGTCAAAACCTTACAGTATCTACAAAAACACTAATGGGTGATGGCTAATTATGCAAGGAGCTAGTTTCAACCCTGGGACACATACAATTCCACCAGGAAACCTTTTTGCACTTACGGCATCGGGATGGAAATGAGAAATGTTTGCAGGCTGGCCTTTCTATATCTAATTACGTTGGGTTTCAGTGAGTATACACCCCAGTTATGGATCTGGGGTATACCTTATTTCAAGATAAACGCCTACTTTTTGTGGAGTTTAAACACCAGGGTTCCTAGGGATATATGAAGACAACAGGTAGCCATCCTCATTGTAGTTCCCCATATTCAGACACACCCAAACATAGTGTTTGTTAGAAACCAAATACATTTCACTATGTTCCCAATATAATATACCTGTGCTAAACTAACATAGCTATTGCAAATGGCCATTTATAGTGAGTTTTCCCATTGAAAATTGTGATTTTCGACAGTTATGTTGGTTTATCAGAAGGTATCCCCAATAAACCAGGGTCATTAACCCCCGAAATCATGTCCCTAAATGATATATCCCCATCACAGCCGAAAATAAAGCCTCAGTTGATATATTCAATATCAAACACACCCGCAAAAACTAAAACAGAGTGTTGGTGTTATACATATATAGTTATATATATATATTATTATTATGTTATAGACTATATAATGCTATATATTATATATAATGGATATATTTTATATAACGTATATGATATATATATATATATAAATGTAGAATTATATACAATAATCTATATAATAATGTAAATATATATATATATATATATATAAAATACATATGTTTATCCCATAACGAATCAACAGAAAACCATATTGTTATTGTGATTATATCGTACATCCCCACAATGTGGCGCCCCCTTCCTATAGCTAAGAAGGGATAACCATGGATAACCAGCATTTTTGAATCGGCCTGGCTCTGTACCTGGGCCTCTGCAATGATCTTGGCGATTTCCTTACCACATGGGGTATGAATGGACACGGTTCAATGTCATGGTGACAAATTCGAGGATTTCAGATGTTAGTAGATTTGATTCCATCTATAGAATTGGTGATGTTTTGTATTATACTTCAAAAAAAACACGAGGTGATTGACAGTAGGAACAGCACACCGCTGAAACATGGTGGTCCTTTGGCAATCGCAGTTCTGCAGATGTGATATGAAAAAAAAAACATCTTTGAAACTATCAGCCAGGCATAGGTGTCATAAATGTTCATGCCATGTTTTGTTAATAGGAACCAATGTCTCATGGTATGTATACGCTCCCTATTCTTACCAAGGGATCCCGGCACAATCTCCATTGTTATTAGTAAAATCCCTATAGTCTTGAACATCATTTCTCAATATTGCCCTGTAAACCATATTTTTATTGGCTATTCTTTATTGGTTAGAGTGACACCCATGACATTCCCAGAAAACTGTTTGTCTGAGCATACTCCAAGAATTGATGGTTAATCATGTTATTTTCAAATTAAGACCGCAATTGTATTGGCATCCCCATTTTCAGACACCCCCAAATCATATTTGGTTGTTAATTCCTAGTACCAATGTATTCCATGACAATATCCCGCTAGTTTGTTACGCCTCATATCCGTGAAACTCCTATGTTCGATAGATACATTGGTTGAAGAGAAAATCAACAGCCGGGGAAACAGGTTGTTTTTTTTGGATCCCCAGGGTCTTGTTGTAGATTTTCCCATCCGATTTTTGGATTCCCACCGAACTGGGTCCTGTTCTTTGTCGCGAAAAAAATGGACCGACTTAGATGGGCCATGGGATTAGCTAAATAGTTAGTATCTGGGGATATAACCCCCTATATCCCAATTATAATCCATTTACTAACTAGTTAACTAACTCCATGGCCCATCTAAGTAGATCACCCATTAATGTGGACTACTCTGTTGAAAGCTAACGTTGTACAAACAAATAAAAACATAAAAATGGGATTAACATAAAATTCAGGAACGCAGTATAGTATGCAATGGGATTGTTGCAAATATAGTACCCATTTGTCCCCATTCATCCCCATTGCTACCCTCTGGTAAACTAACATGGAAAATTGCCATCTTACCTAAATCAATTATAAATAAACATTTTTTCATATAGCTATGTTAGTTTACCACGGTTGCGGCCTTTAACAGTTATAAATGGAATGAGCAATTTTTCCTATAACTAGTTGGTTATATAATCCCCCCCCTGTAAGGGGGGGGAGTGGAGGGGGGGTTAAAAACTGAAATATTTCAAAAAGGGGGTGTGTCCCCCCCCCCACACGGAGGACCCCCCCCACCTCTTTTGGAAACCCAAAAAACACGTGGGGAGGGGGTATATTTCATGTGCTCAGGTGAAATCTTTCTCAGAAATTTCTTGCCTTACCCCCCCAAATATTCCAGGGTTAAAGGGGGGGATGTTATATATCATGATAAACCCATCTGGTTAGTGGTTTCAACCCCTCTGAAAAATATGAGTCAATGGGAAGGATTATACCATATATTATGGAAACTAAAAGTCATGTTCCAAACCACCATTTTCCATTTTCTGATGCGGCCAGCAGTGGTCACGACTGCTGCCCGTCTTGGGCATTCATGTACCTGAAGAAGACAAAAAGACCTGTGGAAATCCTGGCTGAGGGTCCGCGAAAGGGAGCGCATCGATGGCTCGTGTCTGACGCTTGAAAGACCCCCCAGCACACTTCATCATCCAATCATCGATCAACCGAAGTCGCCCTTCGGGCCAAGGTAATGCAGCGCATCCAGTGAACATAACAATGATGTGAGACATCGGCTTGCAATAAGCGAAATCAACAGTCACGTTCAAATGTTTCAAACACTGCTTCCACACCTTAGCAAACCAGCGGGCACGCTGGCGAAAGGAAAACCCCCGGAGCCTAACATTGGGCACTGTATCTCCGTCACACCATCGGGACAAGTGAATTGGTCCGGGGTGACCCGTGCAGCACATAAAATCGATATACAACTGGAAATGCGACACCCAGACGAGATCCCCCTCACATTGGTGCAAGGTTTGCCAGAACCAACTCAAAAGCAGCCTCACCATAGAATCGCCATACCACCTAGTGGCACCACCAGGAATACTCAACTCCGGAAGCTGACGCCATGGGTGAGAAGGCACCGGCGTGTGACACACTTGTGGGGCATTTTCAGTCGTATCAGGTTGGTCATTGTAAACCACCTCCTTGCTAATCGCCAGTTGTACACCCTGAACCAAACGGTTAACTGTACCTATTGCCTCAAGGGCCTGAACATGCTCAACGTGCAGTTTCCAGAAATCCTGTGGCCGAGACAGGTTAGCCAAAACGGCTTGCTTGTCAACCAATGCATTATGTCTGTAGCACCACTCTTCCATGACATTGGAGGCTCGATGTTCAGGTTGATGTGCTGAAACATGTGTTATGCAGGTGCGACCCTGTCGAGTTTGCAAACAGTGAGCAATTTCCAGCCAGAGATCAGAGTGTGAAGAGTTAGGTTTAACTTCCGCACCCTGGAGCAGTCTACAAACTCGCTTAACGACAAAGTCACAATCTGACCACAGCCTGACTGTACCTTGGTGTCCTTCTGTGATTTGCAGAGCACGCAAGACCGCGAAGATTTCGGCTCTCACTGAGCTTTGCAAAAGCCCAGGCAAAACCCCAGCATCCAGGATGAAACTGCCCGTGTAATCATGAACAGCTTGTGTGGAAGCAACGATAACGGCCCATCCCGCGAACCTGGTAGAAATGCAATGTTGATCGTGAACAACTCCCATCAGTGAAAATGTCAATGTCCCCTTGAAATACATGGTGTGGAACCTCATGACATTGCAATTGAGCGAAGTAACGATTCCATGCAATCATGGTTGTTGGTGCAAGCGACCAACCGGCGCATGTAAGAACCTCCGGCATATCAACCAACATGTCACGCACATGCGCAGGGACACCTACTCTGTGTTGCTCAAATTGCTCACATTGCCAGAAACGGTGAAACCTGCTGTCACTGCATTGGCAAAATGGGCATACATCACTCACCTCCTGTTGGCAATAATGTTTCCCGTCTTGTGTAATATGTGAGCCGTTCAGCAGTTTACAGAAAAGGGCGCGGTCTGAGACCTCTAGAGTGGCTAGCCATGTTCTGGTGTCAACCGGATCAATCCCCTTGAGTCCCTGGAAACATGGTCTGTGTTGCACCGCAGCTTGCACAACCCAAGGCCATTGAAATTCCACTCTGAACTGAAGTTCGGCAGCTGAAATCTGGAACATTGAGAAAGGGCCAAGCATGTCATGAAGGAGACCATTGGTGTCCACATGCCAACCAAGAAACTGAATTCTTTGCAAAAGAGTGCTGGTGATACCGTTTAGCGGCACAGTGCTGTTACCTCCTACCAAAGCAACAAGCACTTCCTCAACTCTGGGCTGGATGCCACAATCTCGGACTAAACGAAACGTTTGCATGATCGACCAACAACAAGGGTCAACTCCCGGAGGTTCGGTAAGTCCTAAATGAACCATTGCATTGGCCCCAGCTGAGTCGGCACGAAGGCCACGCATGGCTCCAGTACGTAAAGAGGCAAAAGTTGCCTGACTGACTGCCGTGGCCGCTACAGCATGGAGACAACGTGGCCACGCTGCACATTTGAGTGCACGAATCTTTTGAGCATATGGGCTAGCCGACAGCCTAAGTTTATTCCACAGAAAACCTGCACCTCGAACTCTTTCGATGAGGTGACTGTTGGTATGCTGCTTAGTGAACTGTACATGGGCTCCAAGGCTTTTGCTGTAGGCAACCGTACCAAACCCTTGTTGCCGCAGAATCTTCCGTCCAGAACTGCTAACCGACCAAACATGGGTCTTTTTCTGATCAAGCTGCAAATCAATGGCCTGGGTGAACTGCTCTAAACATTCAAACACAGGTTTCAAGCAATTGGGGTCAGCAACCAAAATTTGCCAATCATCAACATAGGACAGTGGCTGGCACAGCGGAAAGAAGTGGAGCATCCATTCGTGAAAGATGATGTCAATCACCATCATCCCTACGCAAGATAAGGCGCACCCTTCTGGCAGTCCGCAGTTACTAAGGGCCGGTGGGCTCAGGCTGCCATTGATTTGGAACCTACGTGTCATGGAATTAAGTGCCCCTGCCCATCCACAGAGCACAGGAAATGGGAGACCCAGCAGAGCACAGCATTCCAGAACAACAGCCCTTGGTAAAAAATTGAAAGCTTTCTGCACATCTGCCATGATGCCTGAGAGGTGAGACTGAGATTCATGCGCCATTTCCACACTCCACAACAAGTGTGACCAAAGCTGGCCGGAATAGCACTGGGGCCTGCTCCCATAAAGGCCAACAGGCAAAACAGTGTCGAGCAACTTAATTGCTTCTCTTGCGTGATAGGTACCCCAGCAGCGGTAGAGCAAGCTAAACACAGTAATGGGGCGGAAATCTAAGGCACTCTGCGGTTCCGAAACTTTTGCAAGGCATGACACACGCCCGGCCACTACCTGGGTTGGCCATGAGCCTGATTTTTCTGCGTCTCGGAACATCGAGACAAAATTGTCAAGTGCAGCACCTGGCATCGCTTTCAAATCAAGGAGTGAAACACCATCCAGCCCTCCAGTTGTTCGCGAATGTTTTTGCCCAATGCTAGCAGCAAGCGATCCACGATCCATAGCAGGCCAATGGAAAGAATGGCGTTTCAATTTATCCCGTGCAAAGCCCAAAATATTGTCCCACCTGCTAGGGGGAACATTCGCATGTCTTTCCCACATGGCTTTCCAGGCATCTAAGAACAGGTGAAACAACTCATCGTCTGTGCCTTTCATGTGCATCTGCGTCATGGCATCACCCACAGCAATACCTTCCACATCATCAACCCACACAGCATCGGCTTCTGCATGAAGGATTGTGACAGGGCTTCCATTACAAAAGGCCGGCTTGTCTGACGTGAATGGAGCAGAATGGGTCAAAACAACTTCATGAGTGAGGGGATCAACAGTTTCAACAACCGCATGGACGGGCTTAATTAGAACATTTACATCCCTGGCAGTGTGAGCCTTCAAGTCTTGGAAGATAACATTTGGATTGGCTTCCCGTCGTAGTTTGGCATAGTGACGCGATGCCTTATCCAAATCATTCTCAAAGGACCTAAAGGCTAAAGCAAAAGATTCAAAAATGGCTTGGGCAACAGTGAAACTAGGCGGAATCAGCGGAATATGTTCCAGTGCCCCAGGACTACGAAAACCGCTGTTGGTCCACCATTCGCAAAATGAAGGATTGAAGCCTGTGGCACGGATAACCGAACCCCAAACTTGTGTTGCATATGCAGTCAAAGAGTCACGTGCCCCGACATGCCTCACATAAGCCTGCAATCTGCGGAGCTGTCTGAGCCACTGCGAGTGTCGAAATGAAGCACAAACGTAGTGAGGTCGAACATCACCTTTTCGGGCCTGTTTGGGTGGTGGGATCTTCCCATCCAGCTTGGGTTTAACATTACGAACAGCCGCGCGTCCTACTACCCTCTGGTCAACAGGGTATGGTAATGCATTCCTGGCTTGTTGCTCAATGTGTTGCCAAAGCAAGTGGTATTTTTCATCCGGGTCAGCTTCCAACGATGACCACATTTCTGGGTCCACGTTCCAATGTCTTGGCCATGGAAATTCACCAGGTGAAACCCAAATTTGGCGTGGCACAATACTTTTGGGTGAGGAAAATTCACCAATCAAAACTGAATGATCAGGGAAAACATCATGTTGAAGTGAAACCGAGACCAAAAGTTGTTGCAATTCACGGGAAACGTAGCAGAAATCTTTTCTGGTAGCCTGTTTACAGGTGTTGGAGACAGGCCGCCCCCACCAATCGCTTGCGAGATCTTGCAAATCACGAAAACCGGCGGCTTCAATCATTTCAAAAACCGGCAAAGTGTGCTGTTCATTATTCCAGTCACCCGCCAAAAACCGAGGCCCTTGGTGCAGGTGACAAACCTGATTTGCAACATGATGAATTAATTCCTCATTGTGCACTTTCTGCTGGGGATAATTGCATGAATCTGGTTCACCATAAACGACACCTCCGGTAATCCAAAAACCATGCAACAGGGTGGTTGTAATCAATGTCCGTGATGATTCAAAGATACCTGGTGGCATCTGATGTGGCACAGCACGGGTGGGAAACTTTGAAAGCACAGCCACGCCCCTCCAAGCTGCATGAAAAACTCGATTGTCTTGGGCTGGAACGGGATGCCCAGCAACGCAATATTGATACTTGTTCCCAGCAAACCGTAAACTGGAACGGAAGGCATGCAAAGATTGGAGACACAAATGTGTTTCTGAGATTGCCCACAGATCACCTTCCAATTGTGAAACAATGTAAGGGCCCTTCCCCTTTAACCCAGAAGGGTTAAACGCCCCCAATGTGAAAGAAGCGTCACCAGGCCCAGGGTTGGTTGCTTCACCGACTCTGCACAACAGGGTGAGAACAAGCAAATAAGGCCACAAAAACTGGCGGCATCTGAAAGATGCATGACGGCAAAATGCCGCAACCCCCAAAATTGTCAAAACACAAGCAAGCAGGCCCCAGGTCTGAGTAAGAAGCCCAACACCGCAAATTGAGGAGGTGGTGCCAAGCAACCTCACACAAGACCTTAGGCCTCGATGTCATTCCATACCATCATCTCTCGGGCGTTTGGCAAGGAGCCCTCTGATTTGCTGCATCTGCTGCTCAAAGAGCGATTGCATGTTCTGGTTTTGATTCTCCAGATGCCCGTGGAGTTGCTGCGCTTGTGCAGTGACTTGGTTCTGTAGTGCGTTAATCTGCTGCGAATGCTGGTTACTGTGCTCATGAAACTGAACTTCAAGTCCTTGCTGTTTTGCAAGGAGCTGATGAACTTGTCCCTCCAATGCCTGAACTCGGTCCGGGATGTCATCTTCCATGGGCACATGCATCTTCGCCAAAACCGCAGATTGGATACGTTCTTCGATTTGTTGCATGCCCTCTGTGGGGCCAGTCGCTGTCTGAGGCTGCTGCACTGGGTGATACGATCGCCATGGGTCATGCTGGGCCCAAGGGTCTGTTTCAACTGTTTTGGCCTGTGCATTGGTCCCGCAAAGAACCAAAGTGGCGGCGGAACCAACTGTGGTTGGCTTCTTGGTGAAAACGGCTGTTTCTTGCTTCTGTTTCGTCACGACAATGTCCCCACAAGTTGTTGCAATAATAGATTGCTCCGGATCTTCAGTGGCTTGTACTAGCCACATCACTCCACGGCCTGGACATGGAGTCGATGGCTGGAGGGGTCGACTTTCCCAACTGGCCTGTCGCAAAATCTTTGCCACGGCTTGTCGATCGACACCATAGGGAAACGGTCCTACCTGGTATGTGTTCTTAGGACCGCTCGGAAGGAAGACCGTGTCCGGCCGGAGCAGTTGATGGATTGCCTTTGCTTGGTGAGTCCGAACGCGTAAGCCGCGTCTCTCTCCCAGCCTAGCCAGGCCTGTCACGGCCGGATTGGTTTGCATGAGGTGCTGCAATTCCTGCACCGTTCTTTTGGATGTCCAAATCACTGTGTAAGAATCCAGGATCTCTTTTCCATCTGCCGTGCGAGGTTCACAGTAAGCACCGGATGTGCCACTGGCTGTGAGGAGGGCATCCAAAATGCATTGAGGAATTCGGATGCACACTGAGAAGATTTCGGCTTTCTGGACCGGACATGGCTTAAAACCTGACCGAAGGAACTGCCGTCTCCACACGTCCAGAATGGGATCTCGAAGCGGAATACCTTCTGTGTTATGCCAAGCCGAGCATGAACATTGATCAGCAAAACACCTCTTCAGTTTCGGCAAGAGTGAAACCAGGTTCCGAATCGGGGCATTGCAGAACTCAGACCAGTCTCCCTTGAGCTCATCTTGATACACCATGACTTTAAGGGTGACAACATCTGGGTTGTCAACTGAGACAAGTGCATTTCCATGAGACTTCTCAACCAAACCAGTACCAACTTGGACAAGAACAACGTCGGCAAGCACCGGCTCGTGGTTGACCGTGCATGTTCCAAACCATCAACCAGACTATTAATTAAAGGGAATATTAATGGGATATTATTATAGTTAATACTATTATCATGGGATATAATGGTTATATATCATGATAAACCCATAAAAAGAACTGTTGAGGGCCACAACTGCAGAGGGCCACCACCACCGGTTTTTCGTTTTTTCGCAGCTCGGCATCCCGAGGGTTGCGATAGAACTTCTGCCGCTCGCGCGCTTGTCGTATCTCCTCCTCGTGTTCCTCGGCGAGAATGGTTTGGATTACCCTCTGGTTATTGAAAATTGCAATTGAAATAGTTGATCTACCCATGAATCCCATGAAAAAATGTGATTTTAAATAGTTATGTTAGTTTACCAGAAGGTACTACAATTAATATCCATAGTGAATTACCACAGAATTGCTAATTAACTATGAACTATAGTAATATTACCTGGATATCATTAGTTAATACTTAAGTACTATAGTTAGCATAGTCGACAGTTAATCAATTTTGATTAATGGTAATATTGGTTATATTCCCTCCGGTGAACCCAAAGTCATATTATCGCTGCTAAAAGTGGTTCTATATCTGATTATACATCCTCATTATACATCCCCATCAAAAAATATCATCAAACATCTGGTGATTAATCCTTCTTTTCAATCCATGTTTCATCATTCTTCGCTAAACCCAGCATTTCCAATTAGTTCATTGCTAAATCCACCATTTCCAATGGATGAAGCTTGACTTTTTTCGGGTGAACCCGGTGAACCCACCATTTCTTCATGGCTTCCCCACGGGTTTTTTCCATCGCCGGGGCACCGCCTTGGCCTTGAGCTCCGCACAGCGCTCCCGGCGGAAGCGGTGCGCCGCGCGCCGGGCCGCCTCCAAGCGGTGTACCTCCGTCGCCTCGAGCTCCGCCTTTTTGCCTCGGTCAATGGTGAGGGTTTCGATGGATTTCGCCTGGAAATCAATGGGTTTATCATGGGTTTAATGGTGATTTAATCACTAGGAAAATGGTGGTTTTATGATTTACCCGGCCTGGTAAATGGTGGTTTTATGGTGATTTTATGGTGATTCTACTATAGAACCGTTTTGGAAAATGGTGATTTAACCACTAGTAAAATAGTGATTTTATGGTGGTTTAATGGTGATCTAATGGGATTTACCCTCTGGTAAACATACTGTTTGCTATTGAAGCCATGGCCATTGAAATAGTTGATTTACCCAGCCATAAAATGGTGATTTTCCATAGTTATGTAGACGTTTACCAGAGGGTAATCGTGTTCAATAGCCTTGTAATTACTATAGTTAATGACTATAGTTTGATCCTATAGTCACTATTAGTCATTATTGATATACTCACCCACCAGGTGTGGGGGAAAGTCACTATTGATATAACTATCGACTAGTGATATATAGTGATAAGTGATGAGTATTTTTTTAGTATTTCCCTATATTCAATATTGATAATAGTTAATAGATAGGAATAGTGATGAAGAAATATTAACTATTATCACCGGGAAAAGTGACTAATAGGTGACTCAATGTCTATTAGGTGATTGGGTGATTAATAGGACTAGTGACTAATGGGAATAGTGATTGGGTGATTGGTGATTGGGAATAATGAATAGGTGATAATCACTATTCATTGGGTGATTGGTGATTATGGGAATAGTGACTAATGAATTGAGAATAGTATCATTATTGATATAATCAATTAAATTCATGATATGATTGGATATAGCGAATAACTAAATATGATGGTGAATGATAATGTTAGCTATAATAATGGTAATCTTGGTGAATAATAATGGGAATAGAACATATCAACTATTATATTTTTTCTATTATGGGAATCATGAAAGAAAACCGTGAATATAATGAATATATAATGGTGAAAATAGTGAATATAATGAATATGGTGATGTTTTTGGTTATATAAATATAGTCATTATAGATTTAATAGTGTTAACCAATGTTAATCACTATATTATAGTGTTATAATGGTGAATAATTAACTTGACGTCTTGGGACTGGGAATAGTGAACCATTATTAAATCGATTATAGTTATATACTCCCCAGTAAACTAACATTCACTATATAGTGCTGTATAATCATTATATAGGTCTGCCTTTTTGCCCTCTGGTACTTTATCATAGCTATTGAAAATGGCGGTTTATAGTTGATTTACCTATGTTTAATGATTATTTTCGATAGCTATGTTTGTTTACCGGAGGGTATATAATGGGAATGGGAATAGTGAACCATTATAATGGGAATATCTATCATAGTGATGTATGTTTAAATAAATAGATAATTAGCTATAGATTCTGTAGTGATTATTACTGTATTGGTGATTATTACTGCATTGGTTATATAAATAATACTTACTATAGATTTAATAGTGTGAAATCACTAAATTATAGTGTTACAATGGTTTAACTATAGATTGAGGTTATAATAGTGTTCAATATAGTTGATACATGTTTGACTATAGATTGTGGTTATAGTTAAATATAATGTTATTACTCTAGTGAACAGTTTCTATAGTGATAACTGAATTATATGAAATCATATGATCACAATATGGTGAAAATCACCAAAAATATCCAGAAAATAAAAAATGACGACCCTGCTTTCGGGTTTTTTCATGATGAGTTTCCACAATGGGTGACTCTCAGGGCTGCATATGATGATATCACTATAGTGATCGTATTGAAGATTAGGAATGAAAAAACACTAGTTTAATCACAATTTATTAGAAAAAATAGTGATCATTACTAGAGTGAATAATGATAATTGAACATATAAACCTCTAGTGTATAGCTAAGTATAGTATATAAATACAGTACTAGTAATCATATGTCGGTGGGAAAAAACTGCGAACCTTGAAACCTAAGAATTCCAAGGGCAACACTGAATAACTAGTTATTTGCCCTTTGCCCTAGAAATTATTTGGGCGCCCTAAGAATTTCTAGGTTTTATGTTTTATGCTTGTCAGGTAGTCTTTGGTCATCAAAACCAAAATATAACAAATCTTCGTTATATTCTATCAATGTGTATGAACCACGTTCAGTTTACTTCGCAATCCTTTTTGGGAGTTATAAGTATATCCCACTATCCATAATCAGCATGTTATGTGTATAGTTAATTATCAAGAAAAAATGAAAATCGTGGGATTTATTAAAACTACTCACTAGAAATCCTATATCCCCAATAAGTAAATCCCCAATATTCCCCAGTATTCAGTATTCACCATAGTTTACTGCTATAAGCCCCATAGGATCCATAGGATCCAGTTCGGTGATATTCCCAAGAAAGGCATCGAACTTCCAAGAGACGCAGTTCGAGGCGTTCGCCTCAGGAAATTCTGAAAAAACTACGTTCCAATTTTGACCCTTGAAGTTCCTCGTTTGAGGAAAAACATGTCATATATATATATATATGTGTATATATACATATATTTATGTATATATATATATATATATTGGACAACATGATGTATATACATATTATGAAGGTATACACTGTATATATAATATAAATAAAACAATAATATATATACATATGTATGTTATGTCATTTATCCATATATATATATATCCTATAGGTTTCAGAATGATTCTTCCAACCGGGTTGTGAAGCGTGACGCCTGGTCTGCTCCAAACATCCATATGGTTACAGTATAACCACAGTCATGAGGCAATTGATTTTCACATGGGCTACATTGTGCTATTACCCTGGAAAGTTTGATTGGTAGTGACCATTTTCACATCACAACATAATCATGCACGGTACATGCCTAACTCGCATGATGCCACAAATGTTGGTTTCTTTGAGCCATTTCAGTTAACCACTCTAGCCGCTAAAACATAATGACTAACCATAGATAATGATAGATATACATCAGCATATCTCTTGTTTGAAATGTCTATCTACGAACAGTCATATGTGTCTCATGTATATTCTTACATAGATTTATCTACATATATGTACACAGTTAGATAGTGTTCGATAGACCTACATCATCTACATGTATCTACAATATTTTATGGCTTATATGTTCAATAAAATACATTAACATGCTATGTTAAATATACTAACCATAGGTTTGAACATTCTCCAACGTGCGAC